TCTCTGCTCTCCCCCTCGCTGCCATCCCGCCGTTCCGAAAACCAAGGCCTCAGAAAGCAAAAAAGCCTACATTGGTGAAAACCAGCAACCGCACCCCAAGTTAACGGCGGTCATCTGTAGGTTTACAGGAAAATGCAAAATGGTTTTCTCCTCTATAGATGACAAGTTATTTTTAACGAGTATATAGCTTTTAATAGTACTTAAAAAAATTAATGCTATACTAAATAGTCCTAATAAAGCTAACGAGTGTTGGTGAGGATGTAGAGAAATCAGAACCCTCGTGCAATGCTGGTGCAGCCATTATGAAAGCAGTGTGTCCACCCTCAAAGAGCTAAAGAGAGAATTACGGCCCGCTCCTAGGAGTGTACCCAAGGGAAGAGAATGCGTGCAGAAGCTCGACAGCCAATGTCCATTATTCACGTAGGGAAAAGCTGGAAACCGTGCAAATGTCCATCAGCAGGTGATGGATGAACACAACGAGGTCTACCCGCCCAAGGGAAATGCTCTCGGTCAAAAAAAGGAAGGACGTTCTGACACAGGCTGCAACGTAGGCGGACCCTGAAGACATGACGCCCAGTGACATAAGCCAGGCATAGAAGGACTGATGTTGTGTGATTCCACTCGCGGGAAATATTTAGAATAGAGACAGAAGGGGGATTAGAGGTCCCTGGAGGACGGAGGGACGCAGCATTACTGCCTAACGAGTACGAGGGTTGTGTTTGGGATGAAAAAGTTCTGGAAGTGGGTGGTGATGACGGCAGGACATTGTGAATGTACTTAATGCCGCTGAACTGTACCCTTAAGATGGCAAATTTTGTTATATATATTTCATTACAATATAAAAAATTAATGCTGCAATATACCAAAACCATGGAATTGTACGCCTTAAGATTTATTTTTAGAGAGAGGGGAAGGGAGGGAGGGAGAGAGGGAGAGAAACATCACTCAGCTGCCTCGACCGGGGACCGAACCTGTAACGCATGCATGTGCCCTGACTAGGAGTCGAACCGGCGACTCTTCAGTTTTGCGGGATGATGCCCAGCCAACCGAGTCACGCCAGTCAGGGCCAACTGTACACTTCAAGGGCGAACTGTATGGTATATGAAGTGTGTCTCAACAAAGCTGTTAAAACGCTGAGCGCCAGAAGCCTGGAAACCGCGTCTGTCTGCCCTCCCGCTCCAATAGTGCCCTTGGCTGGGAGCGGCAGGATTTAAGTTCGGAGGAGGCGTTGGCTGCTTCGAGGTGGGCTTTACTGGCTGCGCGCGCTACCGTCCTCCCCCGGCCTGGCGAGCTCTGCGGGGCAGCTTGCCTCGCGGGGAGGCATTCCCTGCCAGAGGCTGCGTCCATCACGGAGGCGGGAACTGGGGCACAGAGCCGCCCTGGAGGGGATAAAAGCAGACACAGCTCCCGACCCGTCGTTCGCTCTGCTCCTCCGCAGCTCCGCCTCCTCGAGGTTCCAGGCGAGGACCCGGCAGAGTCACTCTAAGAGGTGTCTTGCTTTTTACTCTCACGAGGCAGCTCCCTTTTTGGTTCCCAAATTACCTGCTGTCCAATCAGGAACAAGAGGCGGCGGGGGCGCTGTCGCCGAGGTGCTGAGGGGTCCCGAGGCCGGACGCAGGAGAACCGCCGGCCTTTCTGCCCAGCTGGCGCGCTCCCCGCGTCGCCCGCGCGGCTGGTCCTTCAGGTCGGCCGTCTGCCTTCCCGGCCGCGGCCGCTGGAGGGCGCCTCCACACCGCTCCTGCCGGCTGGCCGGCCGGCTCCGCGGGAAGGGCCGGCGGCGGCGCCCACGGTTGATCTCCTGGTTCACGCCTCCTGGTAGACGCGGGAGGGCGCAAGGCAGCTTCGGACTTGGTCCCCAAGTCACCGGGCGGCGACTTCCTTCCCCAAAGCTGCACCGTAGCTCATGAAGTCGAGGAGAAAGTGCAGCAAAAACTCCGTGGACGGAGTAACCGCCGTTCCTTCCTTCCAGGGCCCGGCGCCTCCTGTTACCCGCTTGAGCGCGCAGCAAACCTGGACTAGGCGCTGTCTGCGTCACGGCCTGAGCACTCCGCCCCTGGAGACACACCCTACTAGGTGGCCAAGGCCCTGCACCAGGTCACTCCGGCCCATCCTCAACACCACAGAGCCTCAAAACTCTGCTCAAGCGACAGGTGCGGGTCCTCAGCAGGTGACGTACACACAAGAGCAAGGGGAGTGTAAGTCGCTTCTCCCTGCCCTTTCCCGTCCACCGGGGCCTGGGGTTCAGGCCGCCTCAGGGGTCCTGGCCAGGAACGGGCAGCATCTCCCTGTGAAGTCTCACTGGTCCCAGGCTAATTTCTGGAACTACGACCTTCAGCCACCCCTGCCCCAGGCGCTGGTCAGGGTCCTTTCTCCGCCTCTGCCTCGTGGCCGGAGTGTTGGCAGGTGAAGGGCCCCCACTGACCACTCGCCCTCCACGGGACTTCGCTGACGAGGCATCTGGCTGCCTCAGATGGCCCAGCGACAGCCTGTCGACATCAACGGACGGACGCGGTCTGGCTGTCCAGGATGACAGTGAGATCACTGAGCAAAGGCACTTGGGTGGCAGGCCTGTGGCAAGAGTGGCAGCTGCGCAAGGGCCTGCCTGACTCGCCGAGCCCCTGCAGCAGCCCCAGAAGCTGCCACCAGGCCCCGGGTCCCTGGGGAAGAACATTGGAGAGGGTGGCCCTGCCATCCTTGTCACAGTCGGGGGGCTGGGTGCGCCTTGGGCCGAGGGGTGCAGCGCAACTGCTGGGCTCCCGAGCGGTGGCCAGCGCCGAGTCAGCTGGGTCACGGAGCAGCTGGCCCCTAAATCACTCTGGGTCGGCCCAAGGGGGAGGCTTCCGCTCCAGGTGGGTGACTGGCGCTCCCGCTGTGACCTCCGCGGTCTGTTTCCTCTTTCCTCCTCTGCCTGCCCGGCCTCCCTGGGCAGCCTCCTCTCTCGGGTGGAGCCTCCCAGCTTCCGGAGGCCTCCGTGTGGGAGCAACAAATGCCTTTGAAAGGAGGCTGTGGAGTCGGGGAGCTCTGGCCCCAGAGGACTGTGGGGCAGGCGGCTGAGAATCCCAGAGCGCCTGCATCTGGGATGGAAAAATGGGTCTTGCTGTGGTGGGGGGGGGCAGGTATGAGCCCCGACGTCTCCTCCACGTCAGCCCCAGTAACTTATCCCAGCCCCCCTGGGCGGCTTTTGCTTTTGCCCCGCGCCCCTCCCTCCCGCAGCGTGGTCAGCAGAGAGGCATGTCCCACTCGCCCCTTCACCCCGAACCCTTGCCGGAGAGACACCCCCTTGGCTCTGCTCCCCTCCTCCTTCCCGTTCACTGGGCTCCCAGCCACCCCGATGGGGCCTGTTTAATTGATTCAATTTGTCCAACAGTAATAACACTCCACAGATGTCAGCCTTCCAGCTCCCCACCCCCAGGGAGCCGGCAGACACCTGCCAAGGACCTGCGGCTGGGAGCCCTTCCAGGGGCCATTGCAGGCTGTGGGGGAGGCCCCTGACCCCTGTGCTGCCTGTTGAGAGCTGGAGAGGCCAGCCCGGCGTGCAGGAGCTGTGGAGCCACTGTGGCTGAAGGAGCGCGCTGGAGCCTACACGTGGCGAGGCCCTGGGAAGGCTGGTGAGAGCAGAATGTCTTCCTCAGGGAATGGAGGTTCCCCCCCCCCCCAGACTCCCAGGTCCGGGCCCATGACCTTGGAGATGTCTCCCGTTTTGGTCAAGCTGCTGTCCTCGAGCCACCGTCAAGGCCCATCTTCCCCATCAACATCCTATCAACGCGGACATTGGGGGGTTCTAGGTCAACGGAGTGTGGGAGGGGCACTGAGGATTCTCTGGGGTCTAACCCCCTCTCTTGGTGGCTTTGTCTTGGTGGTCCCCTTGGTGGCCACCTGGTGGAAGAAAAGGAGTTGAGCCTCCGGCAGCAGCTGGGAGGGGACCTCAGGCCCTAGTCTGGAGTTGGGGAGACCAGTGTCCCCAACCGACGTGGCTCTGCCTGCCTTCAGGGGGCTCTGTGCGGCCACCACCTCACTGGGAAATGCTTCCAAGAGGTTTGGGGTGGGGGAGGTGGGAGGCGGGGGGCTGGCCAGGCCTGACCCCCAGCCCAGCCCAGTGCCCTCAGTCCCTCTGCAGGGCCCTGGTTCCTGTAGCCACCGCTTCCCACCCAGGGGGAGGCTGCAGAGAAGAGCCGCTGAAGAGGGAGGGGGATTTAGGAGTTTGCACAGCTGGCCAGGCTGACGCAGGGGCTTCTGCCCCACCCCCCACCCAGCCCCATCTGGGACGAGAACCCCCAGCCGGCCGTGATTAGAAAAGGACTGTCATTTAGAATCAGGCTCAGGTTAGCGAAATCCGGACCCCTAGTCTCCCCTCCTCGGCAATCTCCCACGTGCTCCCTCTCAGGAAAAATCAAAGCCTTCTACCATTGATTGGTTACATTGTAGAAAGACCCCAAGCTCATTTTTTATGGGCTCTTTTGCACAATTCCTAGGAGGCAGGGAGAAAGCAAGGGTAAGGGAACCGAGGGAGAAAGAACTGAACGGGCTTGTCCAAGGTCAGCCCCTGCGCGGGCCGCGTTTCAAGCGGTTGATTCTTTCCCCTACGTGTGAGCAAGATGGGGGGCGGTGGGGAGGGGACAACGAGAAGGGCCGGGGTCCGGAGCGGCCACCTGCGAGGGGCGTCGGCCACGGTCAGCAGCCCCCCAGCGGCTCCCGGCGGCCCAGACCAGGCCTCGGGGCTCCGGGGTGGGGGCGCCCCTGGCGCCGCGGAGGAAAGAACAAAAGGGAGCCCCGCCCCCTCCGGGGCTGGCCTGCTGCGGCCAATCGGCACGGTTGCTGCCGATAACACCCTCTGATTGGCTACACAGAAGCCAATCGGGTGCCGGGGCCGCGAGCCCGTGCGGCCCCACGTGGGGCGGTTTAGTAGAGGCAGCGGGTGGGGCGCGTGGGGAGCGAGCGCGCCGAGCGGACCAGACGGCTCACCGCGCCCCGCGCCGCTCCGGGACCCCCGCTCTGGGGACCCCCGCGCCGTCCCCAGTTGTCCCTGAGGATCCATCCGTGAGAGCCCTTCGCGCACGCAGCGCGGTGCCACCTCGGTCTTCTGCTGTGTTGGGGCCGGAATCGTGGCTGCCCCCATTGCACACGCGGAGGTGAAGTGACAACCTCAAAGTCCCCAGCCTGTTAGAGGGAGAGGCCGCTGGGGACCGGGTTCCCTGATCCCTCAGTTCGGAGCGGGTCATCGCCGCCCCCAGGGCCCTGGGCGCAGTTCTTCACCCACCGCTGTATCCCCAGAGGACTGCGCCTCAGGGAACCGGGGCGGAAGGAGCGTGCCCGCTGGGCTTGGCCGGGGAGGCTGAAGCAGATCGGGAGGAAGGAAGGAAGGCCCGGCCTGCGGTTGGGTAGTGGAGGGGCCAGGCGACATCAATATTTCATTGATTGGGTTAGTTATTGACACCTTCTACTATAGTGTCCTGGGGGTACAGACAGAGGTGGCCCCAGGGGAGGCTTGGGGGTTAGCCTCGCTTCCAAGCTGCTCCAAGAAGAACATACAAGACTGTCCTTTGATATGGGCAGTTGACGTGGTCCTACCTTTTCAAGGCACCCTCAGACCGAGTTGAGTAAGTGGAAAATGAACGGAGAGGCGGTGCCGTACCCAGGCCCAGCCACAAGGGGAGCTGTTACCACCCCAGACCTGGGGAGCCGCTGCAGCCGGAGACGAGACCCAACCAGCGGGAGCTGTGACCTTGGGGAGAGGGACACAGCGACCTGGCAGCGAGGAGCCCGGTGATTGATACACTGACCTCGCTGTCCTCCGGTCTGCTCCTTTCCTCCCTGGGCTCCTCACTGGCAGAACCTGGCCGCGGCGGGGCAAGGGGCCCCCTGACACCGGGCCTGCAGCGCTGCGCCGGGCCGCCCCGGGCCGCAGGGCAGGGCCGGGCCGTGGGGGCGCGCCTGTTCTGAAGTGGGAATAAAAGCATCTCAGAGACGTTGCTGTTTCGTGGGCAGTAACATAGAGTCTAAGTGAAGCCCGCGGGCCTCGTAGGCAGAGGCAGCATGGAAACGGGCGGGCAGGGCTCCGCTCGGCTCGGCCCGCCCCTCGCCCCTGCAGAGCCATCCCGGGCCTCTCCGCGAGCCGAGCGGGGGACGTCCTGCCAGTGACACCGTCCGCGCAAGCAGAGCGGTGGATCAGCAGCCGGCCTGCCCACGCCGTTCCGCGCCGCCCCTCCAGGAGGCCCCCTGAATGCTCCGTTTTTACTAAGCAGCCCTCGCAGGGCACGGACGGCCGGGCACGCCCTGGAGGGTGAGCGGGCGTGCGCTTTCCCGGACGAGGTCTGAGACCCGGTTCCCCGAGGCACGGAGCGGTCCTGCCCTCAGCACACCTTGCCCCAGCGTGCCTCTCTCGACCCAGCAGGGGCTCAGCCAGCGCGCCGGTCCCGCTAGGCAAGGCTGTGTTCCAGAGCTGAAGTTGGTGGGTCCACAGCACGGCCACACACAAGTTTGGGGTGGGGCAGCCTGAGCTAAGGGTGCTCGAGACGTTGTGAGGCCGAGGGGGGGCTCCTGGCCAAACAGGGATGAGGGAAGGAGGTGGTCCCTGCGGAGCTCTGAAGGGCAGGAAGGAGATGGAGCTGTGGGAAAGGCCAGGAAAGGCCAGGGGCGCAGAGGTGAAATTGCAGCGCCGAGGGCGTGGCACCCGCGACGGCGGAGCCAGGGTCCTAGGCAGGCACCCCACCTCGATTTCCCTCTGTCCTGGGGTGGTGGTAACGGGGCTACTGGGCAGGTGAGAGAACGCAGTGACGTGCTCCGCCACTCCGGGCTCAGCACTTGCACATGAGCAGCCGTCACAAGCATTTGTTGTAATCGGGGAGGGGGTGGGATTGGATTCAAGGACCCTGTGGGGGCCGTGGGGGCGCAGAGGGAGATGGCTCTCGGGGACAGCGAGGTTGCCTCTCATTCCTCCATCATGTGTGGCAGGTGTCACTAATCCAACAGCCACTCTTTCCTGCGGAGCCCAGAGGGGGCCTCTGAGTCCTTCTCAGCACCCTGTCCAGGCAGCCTCCTTATCAGCCGGCGGCAGCTCAGAGGTGACCCTGTGGGACTCGGCCGGCGTCGGCCGTTGGGGGCTGATGTCAGAAGTGCCCATTGCAGCCTGCCATCTCTGAGCCGAAGCACCCCTACCCCAAGGCTGTTTCCTCTGGGGAAGCGAGTGCGGGCAGGTGGGAGGGGGCTTAGGAGCGGGGCGGGGGGGCAGGTAGGAGGGATGGGGCGTGTCCTTGAGCGGCAGCTCGTGTTGGGGGTCGGGACCTGCCGTTGCCCTCAGTGCTGTTGGAACAGCCAGGACCCAAGGCCGGGGACGCCATGTAGTGGCGCTTGTCCTGGAGGCTGACCTCTCGCTCAACATAAGCATGGGATTCACGGTGCCGTGTGTGTCTGTTCTGTGGGACTGCCGTGGGGTGTCGCGCCGTAGGGCCGCACCGCGGATTATTTGCCCAGCCTCTTGCTCAGGGACGTGTGAGTTGTTGCCGAAGTTTGTCAGCAGGGCTGCCAGGAACATTCCAGCGTGTGTCTTCTGGGGCCGTGCCTGGCAGTGGGCTGCGTGTGAGGCAGCTTCAGCTTTAGTGGATGTGACCTGTTCCCCACGTCACAGTCCAGCCGCCACCCTCCCCAGCAGCGTGGTGCCAGCACTTGGGGCTGTCTGGCCTGTCCTGTTAGCCATCTGGGGCTGGGGCACGTGCTCCGCCCTTGATCTTCCTAAAGCCCCTGTGAGCAGAATGCTTACTGGGGGGCAGGGGTGGTATCCTCACCGTTCACAGGACAGAAAGGGAGCGTCTGAGAGGGGGGCCACGCCGCCAGCGAGCGCGGGAGCTGCTTCTGGAATTCCAGCCTCAATTCTTTCCTCATGACTGAAACCAGAGTTCAGAAAATGAAAGGCGGCCGGTGCGGAGAGCTGGAAGGCCCTGGAGCCTGGAGCGCCGCGGGGAGGTCAGGCCGCAGAGCGAGCTGGGCGGGGCGCAGGGCGGGGCGGCGGTGGCTGTGGGAGCAGAGGGGGGCGGCGGGCCCGCGGGCCGCACCCACTGGGCAGGGGCCTGCTGGGCGAGCGCCTGCAGCCAGGCGCTATGCTGGGTGCAGGGACACCATGGCGACCACACTCAGGCAGGGCCCTGCCTCACGTTAATGACAGTCCCGGGAAGCAGGCAATCAAGGAAATCCACAATAAATACATGATTACAGGCCGTGCCGAGCGCTCCGTGCTGAGAGGGCCTGACCCGGCACTGACATCGGACTGAGTGAACCAGCCTCGGAGATCTCAGTGTCCCAGGACTTAAACAATTTTTTAAAAATGTACTGATTTTAGGCGGTGAGAGGAAGGGGGGTGGGAGGAGAGACAGACAGACAGATGTCGATTTGCTGTTCCACTGATTTACGCGTCATTGGTTGAGTCCTGGCTGCGCCCTGACTGGGGATCGAACCCTCAACCTCGGAGTATCGGGGCGACGCTCACCTGGCCAGGGCTGCCCCAGGACTCGTAAAGGGTTCTCCCCAGGAGAACGGGGTGGGGGTCGGGAGGGGGCGGTGAGAGGCGGAAGTCCTGGCTTGGACACGCAAGGATCAACAGGAGGAGAGCCGTAGCGGGGGCAGGCTGAGCCATACCCACACCCAGGGCTCGATTAGTCTCCGCGAAACTCCCAACGGCGACTTAAACAAGGGCGGCAGCTCGCTCGCTCACACAGGGCCTCCAGGGCAGCTGTGGAGGCCACGGGGTCCTCAGCACCCAGGCCCCCGTCTCGGTGCTCTCCTGTCCTCGAGCTTCACCCACACAGCGGGGGGCGAGGCGAGGGGGGGACACGCCCCGAGGGGCCAGGCCACGCGCTCCGGCACCGCTACCCGGTAGGAACATGGGCCCTCGCTCCACGTCCACGCCGGGCCTGAGCTCGCCCCTGCGCGGGGGGCAGGGCTGGTGGGGGCAGCCCCTGCAGGAAGCAGGGGCATCTGTTCCGGGAAGAAGCGGCCCCGTGGCAGCCACACACTCTCCCTCAGCTCACCAGGAGCCGGCTCAGTGCCGTGTCCGAGGGTCAAGGAAACTTCTACCAGGGGTGGGGGCAGACCACTTGGCGGGGCGCAGTCCCCCGGGGCGTGCCCCTTTCCCTGAGTCCTGGTGCGGTTCTGCCCAGCGTCTGCCCCCTGCGGGGGAGCCAGAAGGACCACCGCCTGCCTGCGGGTGCCTGCAGCTGGGGAGGGGGAGGAGGGCCGAAGACAAGGAGCGCGTGGCCCCAGATGAGCTGCGATGGTCTCCTTTGCCCAGGGCCCACGAGCCCCAGTCGGGATCTGTGACTCCCCCCACCCCGACCTCCCACGGTGCCCTCTAGCCGATGCTGTTGACGCATGGCTTCTTACCCTGATGGCTCGGCCCAGCCTTCAGATTTCTCAGTCCCATAGTCCCTCAGACCCAGTCGGTCTCAGCCCCGGTGGGTCATGTGCTCCCAGGGTGGCAAAGGTCCCCGTGAACACATCCGAGGAACGTTCCTGAGGCCCCCAGGCCCACCCATGCCCCCCCAGCTGTCCAACTGCGGGCTAGACTGGCAACCCCACACCCTCCTGCTCTCCAGTTGCTGGGTTTGGCCGGAGTTCCCGGTCCCTGGGCCGGCAGGGTCCTGTCCTGGGCGCCACACGGACGTCCAGCGCAGCTCGGAGTCAGGACAGAAGACAGAGCCCCTCCGGCGCCCCAGCCGCGGGCTGCTGGCTGCTGGCTGGTGGCTGCGGGGGAAACCGCGCTCGTTGCGGCTGTGCCTGTGCCTGCCCCTCCCCCACTCTGCCCAGGCGGCCTTGCTCCCGCGCTGCTGGCGCCGTGTCCCTGTTCAGAGACAAGTTCCCTGGCTGTGGGGGCTGCGTGAGGTGCCCGGAGCAGGTCGAGGGGCTCACCGGATTCACGACACGCCTGTTCCTGGCTCTCCTGCGTCTGGTTCCCCTGCAGCGTGGACTCACAGCCGTCACGGGAGGGCCGCCGCTGCTGCTGAGAGCCGAGGGTCCGTCCGGGGGCGTCCAGGTCAGTTGTGGCAGGGAGGCAGGGAGGTCCGCGGTGGGGTCTGGAGCACGTCCTCCCTGACCCGCCCGCTGTGCTCGCTGTGTGCGCCCAAGGCGGGCTCGGGGGAGGGGAGGAGCCGGGCAGCCCAGCATGGGGCACTTGTCCGCTCGGCTGTCAAGAGCGCTTCTCCATCGAACAGTTGTGACACTCACGCAGGGCGCGGGTGCGTGGCCCCCGGGCCTGTCCGTGGCGCCTGTCCGCGCTCTTCCTCCTAGTGCGCTGCCTCCCTGACTCCTCTGTCACTTGCTCCTTCCAAGTCCCCCGTGTGTGGCCGGGTCACCAGGATGCCTTGTAGACCTTGGCCTTCAACCTCCACGCTCGGTGACTGCGCCACGGTCCCCTTGGGGCCAGCAACTGCAGAGCCGCCCGTGAGCCCAGCTGCCGCCTCCTGGGGTGAGCTCACGGGCTGCGGCGCCAGCGGCTCCAGCGGCTCCAGCGGCCTCTGGGCCTCCTCCGGGTGCGTTCTCCTGCCCCAGGACGGGCGGCTGCGGGGTGCCCTGCTTACGGACAGGTGGCCTAGGGCACACCCAGCTGACCTTGGACAGTGAGGGTTCAAGGGCAGCCCATCGTGTTGCAGTAGCAAACAAATATAGAATGTTGGGGTAAATGTAAATTTCAGATGAACAACAAACCATTTTTGGCATAAGCCTATGCCTAATAGTGCACGGACCGTGCTTATACTACAGTCATCATAATTGCTGTTTATCTGAAAGCCGAATTAAACTGGGCGCGCCGCTGAGCTCAGGGCTGGGTCCTGCTGGAGCCCGGTACCAAGTGGGGGCAGACAGGCTTCACAGGTGCCACCGCTGGAGACGGCCACGTGGCTCCGTGGGCTCGAGCAGCTCACGTGGTTGCTCAGGTGGGGCTGTTCATAGAGGTTGACCCTGATTGGCTCAGCTTGGGTCACATGCTCACCCAAAAGCCAATAACTGTGGAGCAGAAGGAGGTGGTGTCCTGATTGGCTCTCTCAGGATCATGTGCCCATAGGGCTTCCTGGTGTGTCTCTGTCTTGGGGCGCTGGCCGCAGAGGAATCCCTTCAGGCTGCTAGAGGGGCGTCCCGGTCCCCAGCAAAGTGGTCCCGGGTCGCCGCATCCAGTGGACGCCCCGAGAGGGGAGCCACTGGGGGGGCTTTGGAGGGCCGCAGGCCTGGGGTGCTGGCCGGGATGAGGGGGTGGCTGACGGGCTGGGCGGTGACAATCTCCCTGGCAATGCGAAGCCTCCCGGTGTCCCCCACGCTCCTGGTCCCCAGTTTGTTTCTTGGGAGGACAGAGGTCCCGCCGACGGGTGGTTAAGGTCTCAAACTTGTACAGAGGCTCCGGGGCGAAAGGGGCGGTGTTAGCTTCCCGCTCTCAGCAAAGCAGCTTGGGAGCGGCCTCCCCAGGGGCGCACATTTAACCCACAAACGCTAAAGTGAACTGATGAGCAAAAAAGGTTTTGAGTAAATTTACGATTGTTGGTTGGCCCACATTCGTAGCCATCCTGGGCCGCGGGCTGGACACCTCTGCACCATCCCACCGTCGGGAGGAGGGCTGGGGTGCCGGCCCCCAACGGCTGGAAGCTCTTGGGGCTGGGGCTATGGGAGGCCACAGGGGGGCCCACCCCACTGCCCTCCACGGGGCGCTTTTCCTCGGGGGAGCCCTGGCCTAGCCCCAGCGCCCGGACTTGGTGAAAGCAGAGGCCATGTTGGCCTCGAACCCTGCCGCCCCAGAGCGGCGGACCCAGGCCGATGGGTGGCTCTGCACGTCACTGCTTTTGAAGTGACGCCGTGGAAGACGGCTCCTGCCCGGTGCACCTATTGCCTGCCTCCCTCGGGTCTGTGCTGTGGGGTCCCTGGCCGGTGAGGGAGGGAGGAGTGCCCCGTGGCTTTGGGGACCCTGCCAGGTGCCTGCCTTCCATGGGGACGGCAGGGGGAAGGGTCCTTGGACGTAGTCAGAAGCATGTAGTCCCCGCTTCCGTGCACCCCTAGGGAAATCCCCAGAAAGGCCATGGCACCCTGGTCGGAAGGGGCCCGAGGAATCGCCAGGTTGGGGACAGCCAGGCTCACAGCCGGTCGGTGGGGTGGGGCCCTGTGGCGCTGCGTCCAGCCTGGACACCGGGGCGTGCCCCACACGCCTGGCCCTGACGCGTTGGTGGCCCCCGGCCTGGAGTGTGAGTGCCTGGCGGGGGGCGTCGTGTGGGGCCCAGGGCCGGTCCCCAGTGTGGGTGGCCGGAACGCCTTTGCAGCCTCCCGTGACGCGCCCCCGTTTCGTCGTGGGCAGGTCAGGGACCCCGTTGCGCAGACAAGGCACCCAAGGCCCGGGCCGCTGTGAGGACGGCCAGGCCCATCGCTCCCTGCTGGCCTCCGCCCGTCATCTCTGGGGGCCTGGGTCCCTCGGGCCTCGCAGGCCCCTGCCAGGAGCCCTCTGGCTGCTGGTGGACACCGACGGGCCCCCGCCTTGCACGCCCCTCCGCCCATCCGCCTGCAGCCCGTGCGCGGAGGAGCGGGCCTCGTGCTCAGGGCGGGCGGCCCGAGGCAGGGTCCCGGGAGGGGCGCAGGTGGCCTTTCAGGGGAGACATGGCTGCAGAGGGCGCCGGCTGTCGGTGGGACCGCTGGGGAATGGGCCAGCCGGCGGCTGTCCTGGCTACCTGGCCATCCCCATTCTCCTGCTGCCTCTCCCGGGGATGAGGGGTCCGCGGGCCACCCTGCTGGCACTGGCGTTGGGTGAATGGATGCTCAGAACCCACGACCTGCCAGCGGAAGAGCCTCCCCTTGGGGCTGCCAGCCCTGCCTCGCGCGGTCGCCCGACCTGGGCCGGCCCCACCCAACTCTCCTGTCTCGGAGCCTCCCTGTGGCCTCCCTTCCCTGCGCGCCTGTGCCCCCGGGAAGCTGACCCTCTCGAGGTGTCCACCCTGGCCACAAGGACGAGTTCAGGCTGGACATCTGTCCCTCTCAGGTGGGATCTGTAAGGCCAGAGACCCTCGTCCCGGGGGTGGCTGGAAGTCTTGAAGGCAAGGCCACCCACACCCATTCCGGTCCTGCGGTGTCCGCCCAGGCCCAGCGCCCCGAGGGGCTTTGCTCTGGCTGATGGCGAATGTGGGGGGCAGGCCAGGCCTGGCTCGGCCATGTCCGCTGAGACCCCCGCACCTCTGGGGCCTCCAGGGGTCCCCGTGTGACACACACCCCGATACTGAGGCGCAGTCAGGATTCCGGACCACGGGAAACCTGTACAATAGTTCATATATTTATTCTTAAGCAAGTTATCAATAAAAAATTTAATACTAAAATGCATTTACATAGTTTGCTGTTCATAAAACCTTTGTTTTTGTTTGTTTTTAGTGTTTACATTGAAAAAAACCCACCCCTCTCTTAGTTTACACATTTACAACAGCCGAGCTCCTGCTGGTGGGGGCGTCGCACACACCGGACGCAGACGCAGGAGGGGCGGTGGGGGGGTGGCGGGGGGTGAAGGACAGGGAATCTTGCTGAGGGAAAGGGCCCGCCAGGAAAGGGGGCCGGGCCTGCGCTCCTGCGGCCGGCCGCTGGGGTCGCAGACAGCCTGGGGCTCTAACTGCTGTGCTGGGCTGTCCCCACCGGCCTCCCTGACTCCTGGCCTCGCCTCTCCACCGGCATCTTCCTGTGTCCCGGCTGCCAGCAGGCCCAGGCGGCCCGTGCCCAGCGGCCGCCAGGAATGAAATATTGCACTCTGCGGGGATGAAGGGGCAGCTGGGTGGGGGGTAAGCTGGGGTGCAGGGGACCCCTCCCGGTCCCTGGGCTTCCTGCAGAGCTGCCGGGAGTGGGAGGAGGGGCCCTCCAGGCAGCCAGATGGTTTCCTGGTCAGAGAGAAAAGGGGCCGAGGGGGAGGGGTGGGGTGCCGGGTACCTGCCGACACCCCTTGTCTCCCAGGGACTGGGGCTGTGTCTGTGGGTCACATGAGAGCTCATCCTAAGAAGTGGCGGCTACCTGGGGGCTTTCCTGGGGCGCGTGGCCTTCAGTGCATGCTGGGATGAGGCCACGGGGCCAGCCTGCCCCCGTGGCCTCAGGAGAAGCGAGGAGGTGACAAGTCCTACGGGGTCACTGGCGTGTTGTTCAGAGTCTGGGACGCCCCCTGGCACTGTGGTACCAGGGGGCTGGGCAGAGGGGCGAACAGCTCCCCAGGGGCTGCCTGCACTTGGGCCGGGTGTGGGCTGGAGGGCCTGTGTTCTTGGGCCAAGCACCCCTGCAGGCCGCTGGCCCTGCCCAGTAGCTTCAGGAAAGGCCCAGAACCACCAACCCCCCGCCCCCCACGTGTTGATGGGGCTGGTCGCCTCCCTGCTCTAAGCAGAGGACGGACAAACGGAAATCAGAAATAACTTGGAATATTCAGGAAATGAAATCGAAACGTCACTTTTTCGTATCAACACTTTCAAACGCTTGTTCATTTTGTTTTGTTTAAACAGAGGTAAGATGCACATGGCCACTGTCACACTCCGGGCAGAGGGTCCCGGTTTTTATTGGAGCTTCTGGAACCCCCTCTCCTCGAGGAGGCCCCCTTGGCGGCCCCCTGCCCCCACGAGATGGATTCAAATGAAATAAACTGGAGCGTAACTTCTATCTCCCGCCTCCGGCGTGAGATGGGCGGGCCGCCGGGGCCCTCTGCGACCCGGCCTGGGGCCCCGCCCCCACCACGCCGTGACCACAGGGCACGTGGGAACTCAGCTAGGCTGAGGACAACAGTGCATTTTCAAAGAAAACTCCCCAGAACAAAATCCCTGCACACACACACACGCACGCACCACACACGCATGCACACACACCCTCGTTACGCACGTGGGGAAAAGAAGTCTTTTTCCACTATTTTTTCCATAAAACTTCCCGGAAGAAATACACTATTTACACAGAGAAATAAATAGACAACACACCTGATTTCTGCTTTCCCTGGCGGGAGACAGTCGGAGGTACTAGGGAAAATATGGCTTGGATTCTAATCTCTCGTGAACCGCCGGTGGGAAAGCAGAGAGCGCGGGTGGGGGCGTCCCGCAGGCCCAGCAACCCCGCAGCGGCGGGCGGGGCCGGGTCCGACGCCCAGAAGCTCTCTCTTTCCGGGGCCAATGACAAAAAGCCTGGATCTCGCCTCGGTGGGTTTGCATATTTGCTCACTCGCTCCTCTTCCCGCTCAGCGGGGCGGGGCCGGTGCCGCCCGCCGAGTCGCCCCGTCAGCGCACGGCGCGCCGCGGGCACCGCCGGGCAGGCGCAGGCGCAGGCTCAGCACAGGATGGGCACGCCGTCGGCCGTCACCAGGCGCCCCGTGGCGGGGTCGTAGGTGCCCGCCAGGTAGTAGAGGTCCCGCTGGTCCGGGCCCTGGCGGCTCTGTGTCATCTGCTCGTACTGCTCACGCCCCACGACCTGGCACTTGTGAGAGATGGTCTGCACGTCGTTCTCGTCCTCGTGGCAGGACTGGTACAGGGCGTTCTGCGGAGCGAGGAGTGGGGCGCACGTGCGTCTGGGCGGGCCCTGGCCGGCGCGCCCCGCCCACCCCGGGGCAGTGGGGCGGCGGGGCGGCTGGGGGGCGGGGCCCTGGCCCGAGCCGCGAGAGACTGGGCCCCGCGGGGGTGGGGCAGGTTGGGGGGACACCATTTCTGTGCCCTCTGCAAACGTGGGCTCTGCTCAGGGAGACCTGAGAAGGGGTTTCTGTAGGGGGTGCTGCAGGGTGGAACCAGCCGGTGCTATGCGTTGTTGTGGGTCAGAACCCGCCCCGGGGGTGAAAGCATCACCCCCTTCACGGGAGCCTTGAGGGTGCAGCGGGGAGGGGGATGTGGGGGGTGGGGGTGTGCAAGGACGACCGCGCCCCTCGTTTTGGCTGCTCCCCCTCCCCCCACCCCCGGCCCCAGCACCCAGGCCTCACCTGGCCGTCACTGTGGCGCTTCCCCAGCTTGGTCTCCTCCGGGTGGTAGAACCACTTCACCTTCACCACCATGTTGCTGCCCCACGACTCCCACAGGCTCTCGATGCGGCCGATGTAGGGCAGGTTGGGGCGGCCAGCCGACAGGAAGACGGCACAGTCCCCGACGCGCAGCGTCTCCTTGCCCCGGACGATGGCCTTGTAGAACAGCTTCCTGGCCTTCCCCTTCATGCCGCGCCTCTGCAGGGAGAGAAGCGAGGCAGGGGTGCGGTGAGGGGCCGGGGACCTTGGGGCAGGCGGCGGTGGGACAGACGCCTTGGATCCTGGAGGGTGTTTTGTTTTTCCCCTGAACGTCCCAATGTTCCGATGAAGTTGAACAATCCTGACAGGGGAGAGGTGGGAGACGCGAAGCAGGAGCGTGTGCGGCCTGCCACGGGGCCACCTACCTGCGTGGGGCTCCCTGACCACTTCCAGAGCTGCCGGGCAGGCAGGAAGGCAGAGATCTTTGGCCGGTTTTCCACGGACGGCAGCCGCTGCCTCCGCGAACCCTCTTTGGCTTTGGAGAAGCTCAGGGCCTCCTTGCGCTTGAGCTTGGATTTGCCGCCGCTGGGGCCCGCGCCTGCACCCCCACCCGCCACGGCGGCCCTGGACAGGAAGCAGCGCTGGGCGTGCGGGTGGGGGCCCCCCGCCTTGGAGCGCAGGGCCTCGGTCTGGGCCAGGAGGGCGGGCACGGGGTGGGTGAGGCAGGTCTGCAGCAGCAGGGCCGGGTCCTCGTCATCCGAGCTACAGGAGGACCCCTCGTCGTCCGAGGAGCAGAGGCTGGAAGTGGACAGGGAGCCCGAGGACGAGGAGGTGGACGAACCGGAGGACGAGGAGGACACGGACAAGCGGGCGAGGAAGCGGGCGGGCACGCCGGGGGCCAGCCCGGGGCTGTCCTCCTCCTCGTCCGAGTAGGAGCTGTGGCAGTCACTGTCACAGGGCAGCGGGCACTCGGCCTGGCCAGCGAACTTGCGCAACGCCAGCCCCACAGGCAGCGGGTGGACGGGTGCCCGCCCCTTCCTGTCCTTGCCCACGAGGGCCGGGTGCGCGTAGCTGGGGCTGGGCAGGGGGCGCCCCAGCTTGGGCCCCAGGTCCTTGTCGCCCATGAGCAGCGCTTTGCAGTTCTTGTTCTTGGGGGAAGTCACGCCCTCGTGGTCCAGCTTGACCAGGAACTCGCCGCCCGCCCGCCGCCGCCCGCCTTTCTCCACCTCGGCCCGCTCCGCCTTCTTGGCCCGCAGCAGCCTGTGGGCACCTCCGGGCAGGCCCGGCCCGGCGCCGCCTATGAAAGGTGCATAGGAGCTGGCCAGGCTGCTGAAGGAGTCGGCGCGGAAGCCGTTGCCGAACACGGGCGCTGCCACGCTGTGCACGGGGAACAGCGCCTCGCGTGCACGCAGCTTCTTGGTGCTGCCGTTGGTCTGGAAGAGGTTCTGCAGCAGTCCGGGCCCCTTGCCGCCCGCCGCCGCCTTCCGCTTGGTCTGCGCCACCGCCGACCAGCTCAGCAGCGGGCTGCCCCGGCGGCCCAGGAAGTGGTCCGAGGCCCCTGCGGGGGGCTTGGCACCCGAGGTTAGGAGATCCGCTTTGCCTGGTTGGGGGCAGGGAGAGTCAGAGCTACCCGCGGGCCCCCACACCCCAGGGACCTCCCCCCTGCCCAGCCCTGGGCAGTCCCCGAGTACCAGCTTTGTCTTTGCTGATGGATTTCTTCCCGGGGGTCTTCGAGGCTTCGGGGCCCTCATGCACCTTGGGGGACAGGCTGGGGGCGGTGGGCTCACTGGGTGGGGGGGCCTCACAGGAAGCCTTCTTGGTCCTCCGGCAGCTGCTGGACACCAGCAGAGCCGGCGACGGCTCTGTGCCTGCCGAGTGGACCAGTGGCCTCAGTGCCGTGCGCCCGGGTGACCGCTTCCCCTCGCCCCTCCCTGGGAGCCTGTCTGGACCCAGGGGAGGCCCAGCCCGGCTCCGGCCCCAGGGCTGACCCAGGCCGGCAGGCCCCCCGGCTCACACTGGATCTTGAAATCTGGAGGCAGCAGCCTGATGTTGGACACAGCGATGTGGCCGGTGTCCCCGTCGTCAAACTCCACCACCACAGAGTCCAGGTCCTCCTCCTCGTCACTGGAGTTGCCTGGGGACAGGGCCTGGCTGAGCACGCAGCCCAGGGCTCAGCGCCCGCCCATGGGGCTCTCCCTGGCGGCCGGGAGGCCGATGGGATGCGGTGCCTGACAAACAGCGCTGGGACTGCTCTGCTCCCTGATCCCATCCGACCGTGGGGCTGGCAGGACGGCCGGCAGGCCCCTCTGCCTCCTGCAGCGCAGCCGGCGGGGCCATGTCACCTCCATCCGTTGCCCCATGCCGGGCACGCGTGCGTGGCCGAGGCCTGGCTGGACGCCCTGCCCCCCTGCCGTCCACCTGTCGGGTCCCAGGAGCCCCGCGTCCCCTCCTGGAGGTCAGGGTTCACCCCCAAGGAGCCGTGCCCTGTGGCCAGTTCACGGCCCCAGGACCAGGGCTCAGGGCTCTGGGCAGCCGAAGCCCCGATGTCCCCTGCACCCCTTGCCTTTTCCTGCTGACCAGGGAGCTGGTCCTGTTGCTGCTCTTTGGGTCCCCCGGCCTGGGAAGCAGGGCCCCCTTCTTGGCGCTCGGGGGCCTCCTGCCTGCCACCTGGCCGGCGGGAGGGGCTGGCCACGGCTTACCTCGGACCACGTTGCCCGGGTACAGGCAACGGGACTTCTGGCTCCAGTAGGCGCAGACCCTGGTGCCGGGCGGGAGGTACCGGCTGGACTGGGGCCGGACATCGAGGACCTGCGGGTATGGCAGGACCAGGAGCGTGAGCGGGCTCCCGGGGGGCACTGGGCGCAGCCCCCTCCCTGGGCGGGCCAAGCCGGTGGCCGCTCACCGCCTCCTGCAGCAGCTGCTCCAGCGAGTAGATCCTCTGCCGGTTGCCTCTCTCCCCGTCGATGACGATGCTGTAGCTACGGGGCAGGCGGGGGCAGCGTGAGCCGGCCTGCGGCTGAGGCCGTGGCCCAACCCTGGGGTCCCGCCCTGCCCGCAGCCTGGCCTCACATGTCGGGCGGCCGCAGGGTCCGCACGCTCCCCGCGTACAGCAGGCTGTCTTCCTTCGGGATGAGCACAGGCAGCCCGTCCTGCAGGTCCTCCTTGTGGATGGTGCACGAGCGTGCTGGGGGGCAGGGCGGTCAGGGTCTGGCCACCGCCGCCGCCACGGCCCTGCCCCGCTCCGCGCCCCTCCCTGCCGCTCACCCAGGGCGGCGCTCTGCTCCGCGCTCAGGGAACCGCTCGCTGCCTCCTCCTCCTCCTCCTCTTCCTCCTCCTCCTCGAAGCTGCTGCTGTCGTCAAACTCGAAGTCGTCCTCCACGGCGAAGCTCTCCAGCAGCCGGCTCACCGCCCGGCCCTTGCCCTGGGGGCCAGAGGAGTCAGTGCCCTCGGGGGTGGGGTGGGGGTGGGGGCCCGCTGGGCGCTGGGCGCGGCAAGGGCAGGGATGCTACTACCTGCTTGCCGACGGCCTTGCTTGCCCTCCGGCCCGCCGTCCTGCCCTTCCCCAGGATGGCCTTGGCGTTGCGGGGCGACAGCGCGAGGGACAGGGCCCCGTTCTTCCGCTGTGGGCGGGGGGCAGGGCTGTGGCGGGCGGGCACCAGCCTCCCCGCCCCCGGCCAGCCCCGGGGCCCAGCGAGCGGGCGCGGAGGGCCAGGGCCCTGGAGGCCGCCCCCCGCTCCCCGCCGGCCTCGGACCCGTGGGCGCCTGCTGACGGCGCGGGGGCCCGCGTGCTCACCCGCAGTCCTGGCTGCAGCGCCGTGCTCTTGCGTGTGGCCCGCTTGAGGCGCTCGCTGGCCAGCTGGCTGCCCTCCTCCCGGCAGGTCAAGGCCCGGGCAGCGCCGAAGAGGGCATCCCGGCTGGAGGGGGCCCCCGGCTCTGCTCGCAGGCCGCCCTTGGCTTTGCCCTTGGCTTTCTTCTTGCCTGGTGCCCCAGGGGGCCTGCGCCCGGGGGCCCGCTCCAGCTTGGTGCCCACCTTGGCCTTCGCTGTTCTCCTTTTGATCTTGACCTCGCTCTCCGGGCTGGACAGGCGGCAGGCCCCTGTGGGAGGGAGTGGGGCCATGGCAGGGGTCCTGGCCGCCGCCCCCCGCCCCGCCAGGCTGCCCCCGCCAGCCCTCGCCGCCTGGTACCTAGCAAGCCCTGCCGCTCCTTCTTCTTCTTGGCCTTCTGGTTGGCTTCCATCTTGACCACGGAGGAGGGCGAGGGCCCCAGCACCACCCCGCTGGCACCGGCCGGCAGCGCCAGCCCCGGCTCCACGGGGGGCACTTCTGTCCCCAAGAGACCCTCGCAGCTCTCACTGTCATAGCCACTGCCTGGGGGAGGCGGGGGTCAAGACAAGGGGCATCATGGCAGCACCGTTTTGGGGCGGGGTCAGGGGAGCTGGTCATGCCTGTGTGTGGGTATATTGGGGGGCTGAGTGGAGCCCCGTCACCGTCCCCCTGGCGGCAGCTCGGGGCGCAGGCACCCGGGCCAGGTGTCCAGGCGAGGGTGTGTGGAGGGGGGTGGGAAGGACGCCACCCCCTAACCCTCGCTTCCCTGCCTCCGTTTTCCTCCCTGACACCCGGGTCGCGGGGAGCACGCTCTCAGCGGGGGTCCCCTCCCCAAGGAGGCCCTTCCCCTCTGCCTTCCTCTCCCTTTGTTCTTTGTCCGGCGGGGGCAGGGCTGCTGTGGAGGAAGCGCCTGTTTTCCCAGGCCCCTGTTTCTGGACATGTTTGCGGGGGGCCAGATAACCCTCCAGGTCAGCCTGGCCGGACGTGGCAGGGAGAGAGGACGGAGCGAGAGGAAGAGCTATTTTTAGCCTTTTCCCGGATGCACCTCTTCCCCTTCATCTGCGTGGGGGAGAGCTGCTGGCTCTGCCCTGGGGAGGGGTCTCCTTCCACAGCCAGGGGTCCCAGACCCTGAGTGGCCACAGTCCAGGGGTCCTGGTGGCCCACTCAGGTCCACGACTTGCCTGCCTCCGGTGCTGTGGCTGCCTCAGCCGGGAACTTGGGTGTCTCCCTGCCGCCGCCACCGTCACCCTCAGGCTGTGGGTGCCTGGCTGCTCCGGACACCTTGGTGCTCTTGGCTGGGGACAGCTTCTTCCGGACGCGCCCCGCTGGGAACGGGCTGAGGCCAGCAGGCAGTCCCTTGCTCTTAACCTTTGGCTTCAGCTGGGCCACCTTGTGGGCCACCGTGGACGCCAGCTCTCCCTGACTGCGGCTCTTCTTGCACCGGACCTTCCCCTGAGAACGGCAGGCGGCAGGTCCGCGCACTGGCCCCCCGACACGCTAAGCCCCTGTGGCGGGGCGCTCCCGGCCTCGCCCCCCGCCGAGGGCCCGGGTGAGGCGCCGGCCAGTCCCAGCTCTAACTTCACTGCTGCCCCTCCCACTGCCCGCCCTGCTGGGGCCGGGGGTGGGGGCCAAAGGCCCGGGTGTCTGGGTGTCTCCTGGGCAGAGGGCCTCTTGCTCTTGGGGGGACAGGCAACATGACAAAACGCTCAGGTGCACCTCTCGCCCGAGCCTCCCGGGACCCTGGAAGAGGGGCGGGGAGCGGCCCGAGGGAGGGGTTGTGCCCGTGCCTGTGCCCCCACGGCGTGGGGGCCTGACGCCCAGGCCCCGGGGGCTGTCTGGCTTCCTTCTCCTGCGGGAGTGAGCGGGGGGCGGGGCTGGGTGTCAGGGAGCAAAACTAGCCTGAGCCCCCGGAGGGCCGGGGCCGCCTCTGCTGCGAGGGGCCGGACACTGGCCGGCCTTGGTGCGCTCCGGGGTCCCCGCTGGGTGTTGGCGGGGCCGGTCTGTTGCCTGCTGCCCGCCGCCCGCCGCCCTGCACCCAGGCCCGAGGCACGGCCAGCGGCACTCACCACGGAGCCGGCCTGCAGGCCCACGTAGACGCCCTTCTCCAGTCGGCTCCGCTTCCGCACGGGCTCCTCGCTGTCCTGCAGCTCGGCGCACAGCAGGCTCAGGCCGGACCGCACCGCCCTGGGGATGGGAGCAGGTGGGCCGGGGCCCGCGGCAGGCCCACCAGGGCCCTCCTCGCAGAGCGGCCGCTGCGTGTCTGGGAGGCCCGTGGAGGCCCCGCTTCTTTCCCGAGGGGCGCCTCGCGGCACGTGCCGCCGCAGGGGCAGAGCCTGCGCTGAGACCCGCGGACACCTGCCTCCCCGCCCGCCTCCTCCGCCCGCGGACGGGGCGGGAGCCCTGTGCTCAGGGGCCAGACTCGGCGGCCGGGGGGGCCCCCGTGTGAGTGGGGCCGTGGCCTCAGCCTTTGCACCTGCACAACGGGGGCTCGACAACTGTGGCCCTCAGCAACGCTGGGACCCGGGGGCCGCGCCGTGTCCGGCCACCGGGACCAAAGGCGCTGGGCGAGGCTCTGAGCACGGGGCGCACTCCCCGCCGCCAGGAGGCTGGGGCGGCCGCCGGAGGGACAGGCACCCAGGCTCCGCCTCCCAGCCCGGGGGACCCCCACGGCAGTTCTCAGGCCCGAGAGGTCTGTCCTCTGCCCTCCGTTCTGGGCCCCGGGGGGGGCCCTGCACCTCACCACCCACCACCCATCTCCCATCTGATGCCAAGCCTCAGTTTCCCCGAGCCCCCCAGGTGTGAGGCCGGGAGTGGCCGCCTGTCCTCTGCCAGATGGGGGCCGGGGGCTGCACCCGCCCCTCCCCCACCCCTATGGCGGGAACTGGAATAGGTCGCAGATGGGGCTGAGGGTCCCGGTGGGGCCCTGGCCCTGTGTGGTCAGACCCTGCCCTCTACTTTTCCGCCCGGAGAAGAGGCCGGACCGGAAGCCGGCCTGCGGCCATGCTCGGCCCCAGGGCCCCAGGCCTCCCCCTGCCCTCCTGGACCCCACCTCCACGGCCACCGCCGCAGGGCAGGGCCCTCAGGGGGGTCAAGAGTGGGCAGGAGGGAGTGTCCCGCTTCCCTCTCGGGAGGTAGGGCCCTGGACCGGGCTTCCTTCCCTCTCCCCGAGGCCAGCGCCTTCCAGCCAGGACCCGGCTTCCCGGGTCGGGGTGGGGGCGGGGGGAGGCGGCACAGCGCAAACGCCAGGGCGGCCGCCAGGGCCCCCGGCCAGCAGCCCCACAGCGCTGGCCGGGCCTCAAAGGAAGGGCCCTGGAGCCCTGCCGGGTGACACCTGGGCAGGGCGGAGGGATGGCTGGGGAGGCCCCCAGCCATAGGGCGCACCCCTCCCCCGCGGCAGCCAGCGCGCACTCCCCTCCCCGTAACCTTCTCTGCATTCGCTAATGTTTTGTGACATAAAGCCCTGAGATTAATTTTTTGCCTCTGTCTTAATTGAAGGAACCATTTAGTGCCGATTTAACTATTATTACCAAATCATGAGGATTGATGCTGCGCGCGCACGCGTGCGCCAGTCGTGTTTGGAGGAGCTCAGAGGATTTATGCAAATGGGCCTGCCCAGAGAGGCAATTTGTAGCCGAGAAGGACAATTATGCCAGGCCGGGGAGTGCGGCAACGGCTGCGTCGGGCGGGTAATGGATAATAACGTCGCGCGGCAGCCGTGAGCAGCGCCGCAGCGTGACCAACGACTCTGTACAGTGCAGATAAAGAGGCTTTCACGCAAGGCCGCGTCGCACTCGGGGGCCGGCCGGGCGGGGCGCCGGCGGGGTGCTGCGTGGCCAGGTGCGTGCAGCTGGCATGGCCGTGCACGGGGAGGGGGTTGGCGGGGGAGCTCGGGGCTGGCCCAGGGTTGCCAGTGCCGGACGGGGGAAGGGCTCCAAGCCGGGCTCTGCCTGCTGGACAGTGAGCCAGGAGGTCAGGGCTGGGGGTGCGGGGGCTGCGCAGGGGAGCCGGGGAGCCCAGGCTGCACCACGGGCCCCCGGCCCGAGGTGTCCCCCGGTGACCCACGCACCCAGGACTCACTTGACTTTCTTAACGTCGCCCCTGGGGAGCTGGCCCCCGGGACGCAGGGCGGGCAGCAAACTGGAGTATTTTCGCTTCCTCGGCCGGCCAGGCCCTCGCCTCGCTGGGCTCCGCGCACTCTCGTCTCTCCTGGCAGCCACGGGAGGGGTGGTCAGAGGCCTCGGCCACACTGGCTCCCTGATGGGGTCCAGCGGTTGGCGGGGGGCCGGCCCTCCTGGGACTTGGCCCCGGGAGCCAAGTCTTCCCACGGAGAGCAGGGCCGGGCCAGGACCTCCGCTGCCCCCGCCCCCCAGTCCCAGAGTCCCGCACACACCGGTCAGGGGACGTCTGCCGCCCGGCGACAACTGCGCCCGGAAAGCCCCCTCTGGCCTCTGCCAGGCGTTCTCCTGCCCGCGCACCTCCCCCGCCTGGTTCCTCTGCCGGGCGAAGGCCCCCCGGACTCCAGCTCCCAGCCCCGCTCAGCTGGGCGCACCCCGGCCGACCGCTGCCCGCGAGGCCCAGCCTGCCCCGCCCGCCAGCCGGGGCCGTACTCGCGGTCATGCCTGCGCTGCAGGCGGGCCAGCTCCCGCTGCTTCTCCTTGTACCGCCTCTGCAGCTCCGCCAGCTGCACCCGCATCTCCACCTCCTGCGTGTCCAGCCGGTCGATGGCGGCCTTCAGTGGGCATACCTGGGGGTAGGGGCGCGGGGGTCCGTGAGCCAACAGGGCCCCACGACGGGGCACGGGGTGGCCGGGCCGGAAGCTCCACAGCCCCCGGGGTCATGGCCGTGGGCAAGGGGGCGACCAGGGCCCTCCACTCACAGGCTTGGCCTTGGGCGTCCAGGTGTCCTTGCGCTGGAGGATCTGCATGCGGGGGGTGAGCGTGGGAGCCCTGCAGGGGCCGGCAGCGGGGGGCCGGCCCGAGGCGGCGGGGCTGCCCAGGCCAGCGGCCTCCACCAGGGACCAGGCCGAGGCCAACGTGGCTAGGCGCTGCAGGTTGAAGGCCAGCACGTCCTCCTCCTCTGTGGGGGCACGAGGGTGAGCGTGTGAGCGCGGGACCCCTCCAAGGGGCTCGGGATGGCAGCCCCGGTTGGGACGGCCCAGATGCCCAAGGTTGCGTGGCCCCGAGGAGCGAGGGCCAAGAGCCGCAGGGTGCGCGCCCGGCGCCTGCCTCGGCAGGACCGGGGGTCGGGGGAGACGTCCCCCTTGGCTGCCTCGGGTCAGGCCCGTTGGGATGGCACAGGCCCTCGGGGCAGAGCCTGGACCACTGAGGAAGGACACGTGCCTGTCACGCCTCTACCAGAAACCACCTGTGCTCTCCTGCCTGCGCCTGGAACTGAGAACACCTGGGGAGTCGGGGTGGGGCCAGGCCAGGCCAGGCTCAGGGGAGAGCCCAGCCGGCAGCAGAGGTGGGGGGCGGGCACACACCGCAGGCTGACCCACCGTGAGCTGCGGCAGGAGGGGCCCGGGGCGCGGGCGGAGGCCTGGGTGGGAGAGCGCAGCCAGCGCCACCCTCCAGGACAGCGCGGGGTGGGGGGCAGCGATGGCCTGGGGGCAGCGCAGTGAGCACACGCGACACACTACGCTTGGCTCCTAACGCCGGCCTCCGAGGAGAGGCCTGGGCTCCTGGAGGAAAAGGGTGGCTCGGGGCGGGGCAGGCCAGGGGTGCCGGGCGTCCGGGGGCTGCCACGGGCCGCATCTGAGGCAACGTGACCATGAGCGCCAAGAGCGGCCGACGGCCGGCAGCTGCTGTGGAGGTCGGGCCGCGGGTCCTGTGGGCGCGGGCGGGCGGGCGGACGGACGTGCGACGGCCACCCCCCCGCCCCCGCCTCTCCCAGTGGCCTCCCGGGACGCCAACTCCGAGGGAAGCGCCGGCCACCACCGCTGGCGTCACTGTGATGTGTGACGGCGATCCCCCTCGGCAACAGAACCAGCCGGGAGGGCGCCCCTCTGGACGTCCGTTCTTGGCCAAGGCCGTGGGAGGCCCTCGGCCCGGAGATGGTTGCTGGGTCCAGGGGGCCCGGGAATGGGGGGCTGGGGGGCCGCCCGTCCCCCAGCCGCCGGGCCGGGGTCGCTGCAAGCCTCACGTCAGCTCAAAGCCTCTCCTGGCCCTCCCCGCTAACCCCGTCTTGGGGGCCACTGTCGTTGCTGGGGACCCCCTCTGCTCCCCTCCACCCCCCGCTCAGTCCTCCCTGAGAGCCCCCACTCCTCACGCTAAGCCTGCTGACACCCGCAGGTCCTTGGGTGAACCTGGGGGAGGGGGTCTCCGGTGGCGGGGCAGGTCGTCCTGCTGTCCCTCAGGGATCGACAGGCCTTCACCCCAGGGCTTCCTCGCCCCCCGCCCCCGCCCAGCCTTCCCCCACTGTCCCTGAATCCTGCCAGAGAACGGAGCTCAGCTCCTGCTCAACTTCAGGCACTTGTAGGGGACCGCCGTGGAGCCCAGGACACTTAATGGGGACCCAGGGCAAGTGGGCGCCGGGGGTGGGGGGGGTGGAGACTGAAAGCAGCAGCTGCCTCAAGCCACAGCGCACTGTCCCCCTCCACACACACGGGACACGTGGTCTCCATGCGAGCGTTCATTCAGGGAGCGGCGCGGTCCAGCAGGCTTTAGCACGCGGCCAGGCCCGGCGGCCACGCAGGGCGCTGGCGTCTGCTTAGCACACCCTCGCGCCAGCCGCTCTCCCGCCGCGGGCCCGGCTGCTCGAGCCCGGCCAGGGCGCTCTGCCGCGCGCTGTGGCCCCAGGCCCCCGCGCCAGCCCTGCTGGGACCCTCCCGTCAGGGTGCCCGCTCCCTCCCCTCCGCACTGCAGCGGGCCCACCGGGGCCACAGGCGTGACACAGCGGCCTTGGGGAAATTACAGGAACACTCGCTCTATCTCTACGCAGCACAAAAGGCTCGGGTGGCAGCTGGGGGCAGGGAAGCTTCACGCTTCCGGGAAACAAGCCAGCAAGCCAAAGACTTGGTTGGGTTCTTTCTATAAACATCGACGCAGCGTGGCACCTGGCCCGGGCTCCCTCCGGGGCGGGAGGCGGGGCTTCCCCGCTGTGGCACCGGGCCGCAGGGAGGCCCCTCTGGGGTTCCCTCAGACCAGGCAGGGAGCTGGCCCCCAGGCTCCACCTCTCCCTGCAGGGCAGCCCCAGCCCTGCCCTGCCCCCTGGGGCCACGGCGGCTGAGGGGAGCCCAGGAGCACCGCGTCCGGCAGGGCAGCTCCGGTGAGGCCCCGGGGCCATCCGGGCAGCCTTGGGTGGCCAGCCGGGCAGGCAAGGGCACGTGTCACCAGTGGACCTGCACGGGCCTGGGCAGGGAGCCAAGGAGACCAAGGGGGCAGGGCTGGGCTGGGAAGCCTGAAGGGGCACCCGCACACTTTCTCCCCTTTCCGGGCTGGGGGGCCTCGCCCAGCCCCTCGCCTTGCACCCCCAGGAGCCTGGCATCCCCGCGTGTGATGGGGGTGAGCCGGGGCCTCCCTCAGGGAGTCACGAACACCCACAGTGACGGGGGCTGCCTGGAGGCCCTTTCTGTCGCCCCGAGGACCCGGCTCCTGGGGACCCGTGGGCAGGCAGGGCCGGGGGTGATGTGGGCGGACACAGCTGCCCCCGCTTTCCAGCCGGCAGGGGCCACAGGGGCCTGCTGTCCGGCTGGCCGACCCTGAGCCTGGAGGGCGCAGGGGGACGGGCCGCGCTCACCTGGCAGGGCCGGCTCCCTCCGCTGTGGCTGGAAGTCCAGGTCGGCCAGCTCGCTGAGCAGGGCGATGCCGTGGATCCCTGAGCTGTGGGGCAGGGGGGCTGTGCTGGGTGGCCCAGGGACAGCGGGTGGCTGAGGGTCCAGCGGGCTGATGCCAGGCAAGTCCCCTAGGTCAATGGTGGCAGCCACCAGAGCGTCCAGGCCCAGCAGCACCCCGGGCAGGTGGCTGTTGTCGGGAGTTGACCCCCAGTCCTCCTCCTCCTCCTCTTCCTCCTCCTCCTCCTCCTCCTCCAGCTCGTCCTCCTCGCACTTGGCTGCCTCCTCTGGCCCCGCCTCCCCCGGGGTCTGCCACGTGCCCCGCTCGGCCTGGTCCAGGGTTCGGGGGCTCCCCGCCTGCTGCTCCAGGGCCTGGCAGCCAGCCCCCGACGAGGGCTCCTGCTCCCCTTCTTCCCTCCCCTCCCCCGTAGTCCTCTCTTCTCGGGCCCCTCCCTGAGTAGAATTAGCTGGGCCAGTGGCTTCGGGGCCCCCTCCCTGGAGGAGGGCCCCACATCGCAGTTCCTGTAGCCCCTCCAGTGGGCTGGGGTCCGCCGCCTCCTCCGGGGGGCCCTGCTCCGCAGGGCAGGGGATGACAGCGCGGCCCTGGGCGGCCTCCCTGGCCCCCGAGGGCAGCCCAGGCTCCTCCAGGCGCTGGGGGCTCCGGCGGGACGGCTCCCCGGGCACGGGCGTCCGTGCTGGCTCAGGCCGCGCCCCGGGGACAGGGTTTTGCATAGTTTTGGGGTCCGAGAGGTCAGATGAGTGCACGTGGGGGGAGAAGGAGAAGCGGCCCGCGCCGGCCGCCGGGCACACGAGTCCAGGAGGCAGGTCTGCGAAAGAAGAGCGCGCAGCTGCAGCACCGCGGCCCCATCGCAGGCGGGGTGAGGGGTCCTCGCACCCTCAGCCCCACACCCGGGGGGAGAGCCCCAGCCAGCCCTGTGCCTGCGGACAGGCGAGGCCGAAGCGGGGCCACGTGGTGTCGGGGGGCAGCAGGAAGGCTCCGGGCCAGGCGGGCGGTGAGTCCCGCCCCCGCTGGGCCCACGGGGTCCCTCGGGCCAGCCCCGGCGTGAAGCGGGGCCGCTGACCGGCGGCGGGGAAGGCTGACCATGAGCTGCCTGCGTCGGGGGCTTCCCTGAACCCAAGCCCCCGGGAGGCGTGATGCCCCGTCAACTGCAGTAAAAGAAGGGGGGGGGGCGCTACAAAAGGCGACCACTCCGCCGGCTCGGTCTCCTTATAGTGGGACGGGGACGGCTTTTGTGTTTGCCACACGTGTCCCCAGTGTCAGCGCGCAGCCTCGTTCCGAGAGAAGGACACAGCCGGGGCGCGGGCTGGCGGCGGGGCCGGGCGGGACCCCCGTCGCAGGCCCCCCTCCTCGCCCCGGGGCCGCGCGGGCAGCCTCGCGGGCCCCCATGGCCGAGCACGAGCGCCTGGGCCAGGCTTCGAGGCCGGGGCGCAGGGCCGGCGGCTGCGGCCCCGGGGTCCTGCCCCTGGCCCTGGAGGGTCGGGCACTCGGTCACTCCCAGGGCCTCGTGCTGGCCGGCTGGGCTGGACCCTGGTCCCGCCACCTCTGCCAAGGGCTTTGAGGAGATGGTGGGGACCCCGAGGGCTTCTTCAGAGGGTCACCCAGGATTGGGGAAGCGGAGGAGAGCGTGAGCAGACGACAGGCAACACCCCCCAGGCCCTGCCAGGGGCCTGGGCAGGAGAGGGCGCCCCTGCGGGTGCCAGACCAGGCCGCACCCTGACTCAGCCCTCCCCGCCCGGGGGAGGGAGGGGCGCGAGAGGCCTCACCTGGCTCCAGCGTGCTGAGGTTGGCTCCGGCCCGCCGGCCCTCCCCGCCCCTGTCCTCGGTGCCGGGCAGCGGGCAGCCGGGCCCGGGGCCGCCGGCGAGGCAGCCGGATAAAGTGCACGGGGCGCCAGGACATGGCAGCGGCGACGTGGGGCAGCTGGCGGGGGGCTTCTGGGGAGGAGAGTGGCAGCAGGGTGACAGCTTGGTGGGGCCTGTGGTGGCAGGCGAGGGGGTGCCCTTGGCCGTGGGGGTTAAGGCAACTGGCTTGTGGGTGGACTTCAGGGCCTTCTCCTGGGCGGGCTCCTGCGGCTCCAGGGGGTGGTCCTCAGGCTTCCGCTGTTGGGTGGGGGAGAGGCTCAGGGCGGCTCGGCCCCCACAGGGCAGTGGGGGGTGCGCGTGGGCGGGGACCCGGCCAGAGGGGGCGGGCCCTGGGGCCCGGCCGCCTGGCCTCAGGGCGGGTACCTGGAACGGGGCGGCCCGCTGCTGCGGCGGCGGCGGGGGCTGCGGCGGCTGGTGCGGCTGGTGCTGCGGCTGGTGCTGCAGGGCGTAGAGCTCCTGCTGCCGCAGGAACTGGGACCGCGAGTACACGGGGAGCTGGCCCGGGTGCTGCAGGTGGGAGGCGGGGCCCCGGCCCCCGTACATGGGGGGCCACAGCGAGGCCTGGTCCATGACGTCCGCTGCGGGCCGGCCAGAGGAGCCCTCAGCCCCGCAGGCTCGGGGCTGCGTCCCCAGCCACCCCCGTGCCCACCCGCCTCCTGCCGGCCTCCTCGCCCCCGCCCCTGCCTCGGACCTGCTCCCCGCACCCCCGCGAGCCACCCGCCCCCGCGGGGGCCCTCACCGAGCGAGTGGGGGGCGGCGTGGGGCGCGGGCTCCGAGGGCAGGATGACGAGCTGGCTGTCCTGGGAGAGGGGGAAGACCGAGGGCATGGAGCCGGGCACAGAGGCGGGGAAGCCGGGGGGCAGGTTCTGGTGCAGGGCGGGGTGCCCGAGGCCTGGGGAGACAGGCAGCGCGGTCAGGGGGCGGGGGCGGGGGGCTCCGGGCCCGCCCGGCCCCCACGCCCCCGGCCGCCCTGGGACACTGACCGTAGGAATGTCCCCCCATCCACAAGGAGGGGCTGCGGGTGCGGGGCAGCCAGGGGGGGTGAGCGGGGTGCGGTGGGGGGGCCGGGTCCCCGCCCAGCTGGCTGCTCTGCAGGGAGGAGCCGCCAGCGATCATGAGGTGAGGGGCCAGGTCTCGGGGGCAGCTGCCCGAGGGGTGGATCCGGGTGAACTCCACGAGGTCCTTGTTGTCCCTGCAGGTCACGGGGTGGGTGGGTGTCCCTGCAGCACGGTGGCTGGCAGCCCGCCCCGTTCCCCCACCAGAACCCCGGGCCGTCCGCTGCGGAGGGAGCGGGGGGCGGGCAGCAGGGACAGCCAGGCTCAATGCCAGGGGCCCCGGTCCCCGCAGAGCCCCCCCCACCGCGGGCAGACGCCATGGCAAGGCCCCCGCCCCTGCCCGGCTGCCCCGCCCCCGCCCGGCTCTCACTGTAGCAGCAGCTCCCGGCTGGCCAGCGCCCGGTGCTCCTCACACAGACGCGCCCTCTCCTCTTCGGCCTCCAGGTCCAGCGTGTGGGCGGAGCGGGGCCCACCGCCAGCTGCACAGGGCAGAGATGGCAGAAGGGACGAGGGTTGGGGGGGCTGGGCGGAGGGCCGACCAGGCCCTGAGGGCCTTCAGGGTCTGTCCGGGGGGGTGGGGAGCCTCGGGCTCGTGTGACGGGGCGGGGCCGTGGGGACCGAAGATGAGGGAGGCGCCCCGTCCCGGAGCCCTGGGAGGTGGGGCAGGGCAGGTCAGCGGCGCCCCCAAGCCTCCCCGCCGGGGCGCGGCCATACCTTTGAAGGCCGGAGCCGCCCGGCCCTGCCGCCCGCTGTTGGCGCCGTAGGCCGTCTCTGGCCGGCTCGCCGTGTCCTTCTGCCGCGCCAAGGCCACCGCGATGCCCACGGGGGGCTGCCGCACCTCCCCCTCGCCATGCGGGGCCTCGTGCTCCCGGCTGCGGGCGCAGTCGGGCCTCTCCGCCTCGCCCGGGGCCTGGCCCGAGCCCTTGGCGGCCGGGCACTTCGCGTCCTGCTGGGCACAGCTGGCCTTGAGGCCGCCACCCAGGCCTACGAAGGGCGCCTTCTGGCCGACGACCAGGGCCTGGTTGCTGTACTTGAGCAGGTTCTTCATGGCCGAAACCTCATCGGGCGGGGCGGGCAGGTCCTGGGGCAGGAGGGCTGCTTGCTGAAGGCCGCCGCCGCCGCCGAAGGGGTCCAGGTAGGCGCCGCCCTTGTGCTCCTCGCCGACGGCCATGGTGGCACCCTGGCCCGCCTGGACGCCCCACGGCGGCAGCTGGGGCCCGCCGTAGCCCAGGGAGGCCAGCTCCAGGGACTTGCGCTTGGCCTCGGCCCCGCCGCCCCCCGGCTCCATCTCGGGGGTCACCAAGTGCTGCTGGTGCCGGATGCGGGCCACCTTCTGGGCCCCGGGGAGTCCTGCAGGGGCCTCCTTGCCGGCGGTCTTGTCTAAAGTGCAGCAAGCCTGGGTGACCTTCCCGCCCAGAGGGTCCTGGTGACCTGGCCGGGGACAGTCCTGGGAGGGGGCGGGCAACTCAAAGTAGTTGCTTTTGTCCAGCCCCCCAGCGGAGAGCCCGGGGAAGGGGGCCTCGGGTCCTGCGCTGCGGAGATACTCCAGGCCCTTCAGCCGGGGGTTGAGGGCCGCCTCGAAGCCCCCCGGCCGCCGCTCGCCCTTGCCCTCCGCCTTCAGGTGGGCGTAGGAGACCCCGTAGGGTGCGGCGTGGTCGGGCGCCAGGGCCCCGTCCAGGTGCCGGTCTTTGCCCTCCCCCGCCACGGCGCAGGTCTCGGCCCCTTGGAAGGGGCGGCTCTTGTCGGCCAGGCGTCCCACGGAAGGCACAAAGGTGGGCCCGCTGGCCTTCAGGTCCCGGGGCACTTGGTCCTGCAGTGGGCGGAGCCCGTCGGGGCCGGCGTGCAGCTGCAGGCAGGGGAAGGAGCCGGCGGCCGTGCTGAGGGGCGGGGGCGGCCCGGCGGGCAGGCCGGACGGCACCGTGTAGGGCACGGAGTGGTGCAGCACCTGCCGCCTCTCCAGGCACTCGCCGAAGGCCTGCCCGGGCTCCGCGGGCCCCGCCGCCTCCTTGGTGCAGCGTCCCGAGGCCACCACGCCCACGCCGGGCCGCACAAGCACGCCGCCCGCGCAGCTGGCCAGCGCGGCCTTGCCCGTCTCGCCGTTGAGCACCTTGGCGTTGAGGAGGCAGGAGGCGAGGTGCTTGGGGCGGCCCTCGCAGGAGGCCCTGGGCGCGGGGCCCTCCTTGCAGGGCCCGTCGGCGGGCAGGGGCAGGACCAGCCTGTGCCGCTCCTTGCCTCCGTCCTCCTCGGCTGCTGGCCGCTCCTTGCCCTCCGCCGCCTTGCCCGCCTTCTCCTTGCCCAGCTCTTTGCCCACGAGGAAGCGGTCGAACTCCTTGGCGCCCTTCTGCAGCGCGGCGGCCTCGCCCCGGTCACGGCTGCAGGCGCCGACGGGGTGGCTGGGGGCGGCCCGGGCCACGCCGGGGAAGCTGTGGTTGGGGGGCAGCAGCGTGGGCTGGGGGGGCAGGTTGCGCAGGTAGAAGTTATCTGCGTGCGGGAGAACCCAGGTCAGTGGGAAGCCAGGCCGGACAGACCGAACCGCCGCCTCCCCCGGGCCTCCCCCTGCCCCTGGCCGTGACCCAGGGCTACTGTCTGAATGAGGCTTCAGACTGTAAAACGGGGGTCACCTAAAGTCGACCGCCGGAACCACTCTTAGGCGGGCGGGCCAATGCATTCAACACGGTCACACCGCTGGGCAGTGCTCACGCCTGTCGGTCCCCAGAATTTGCTCGTCCCCCCAAAGCGAGGCTCTGACCCCGTTCCGTGCTAACGCCCCACCCTGGGGAGGCTCTGAGCTATGTTCAGCCCCCTGGGAGGGGAGCGATGACAATGCCCGGCCCCCAGCCCAGCGGGAGCAGGCAGCGCCAAGAGGCGAGGTCCGGGGCAGCCGGCCTCTCCCCCAACCCCCTTGGTACCGGAGGCGTGCAAACTGGCCCAGTGGTTTTTCGGGTATTTTTTTCCATTGTCCTTTAGTCCCCTCATACCCGCTCCTCCCCTCGGTCCAGCCTCTGGAAACAGCGGTCAGAACCCTACAGCTGTGGAGGCCGCACGGCTTAGTGGCCAAGCGGCCGTGCACGCGGTGGGTGGCGTGGCTTGGCCACGGCGCGGCGCGCTGTGCCAAGAGGCCCGGCTGCGTCGGGGAGCTGCGTGGGGGCCCACTGTGGGCGGGGCCGTGCCCTGTGGGCCATGCCCGGGGCCCCGCTCCTCCCAGCCCCTGCACAGGCTCAGACCCCGGAGGACGCGACGCTGGGGAGGTGCGCGTCTGCTGGCAGCTTGGTGTGGAGACTCCGCGCACCCGCCTCCTGAGCTCCTCGGCGGCCCTTGGCGCCCGCGTCACCACGGCGGGCCTCGGGCTGGGTGATCACTTATGGAACGGAGGCAGGAGAAAGGTCCCGGCTGACTGTCCCCACCCCTGGCCCACTATCGGCTTTTGATGGCCCCGCAGCTCTGGGACCATCGGTCCTGGTGGGCAGTGGGTGTGCCCCCCGCCCCCCGGCTCCTCAGCCTGGGCCCTTGGCCCAGGGCAAAGCCGTCCTGCCCAGGCCTGGCCTTCTTCGCGGGGCCGCCCAGTGCTGGGACCCGGTTACCATCTCTGGGGGCCTCGGGGGGCTGTCCCCCTCCGTACCCAGCTGGGATGGCAGACAGGCAGCGCGGACGGCCTGGAGCCCCCAGAGAGAGCAGACAAGGGGGAACCAAAGAAACATTTGGAACTTGTAAAACTGTCCTCGGTTGTGTAAATTCCTTGTCAGTTTCCTGCTAATTAAAACAAGGGCGGCCTAGGCGGAACCTAATTAGCGAGGTTTCCCAAACTGAAGGGTTCCCCGGGGGTGGGGTCCACCCCAGCACTGTGAAAGAGGGGAGGCCGCCAGGGCCGCTGCCTGGAGGGGTCCCTGGCTCGGGGTCGGGACCACCTGTCCGCCCCTGACAAATGCTCTCAAGAGAGCTGCACACGCCGAGCTGCTGTGGGAGTTTGGGGGACCAGCCCCCACGGCCGTCCACGGGGGACCGCGCTCCGGGCAGCAGAGCGTGCAGGGCCTGACCCGCCCTGGGGCAGGCGGGAGCTCTCCCGCCCCGTCTGCCGGCAGGGTCTCCCCTGTGCCCATCCCAGCGGCTGGCCCCGCGCTGGCCCGAGGCCGAGGCCGAGGCCGAGGCCCGCGGCTGCCTGGCCAGGCCCAGAGGCGCCAGGGTTCCTCGGGGGCGGTCCCCAGTCCCTCTGCGTGGAGGCTGAGGGAGACCTCAGGCCATGCCCTGCACCTGCTCCATCCCGGGCCACGGTCCCCTGCAGGCTCCTGGCTGGCATCCATGCCTTCGGGGGTCTGCACGAGTGTGCGCGTGTCCCCGCCACGGTTCCCCAGCCCCGACTTCTCATCAGCGAAGCCCGGGCCTCAGCATCCCACCTCCAGGGACACCTCCTGGAGGCCCCTCCTGCCCACAGGGCGCCAGCCCCCACCCCACATGCACTTTCACAGCCTCGGGCCCCCGTGAGGGGCGGGGCCTGACCCGGTACTGCCCAGTGAGGCGGAGGTGCGGGCTTTGCCGCCGCCCCCACCTGAGCACCCTGGGACCCCTGGGCCACTGGGGTGGGTGTGCGGGGTGACTCCAGGTGCGCAGGGAGTGGGGAGCTGCGCCCTCGGGCCGAGGTGACAGAGGCTTCCGCCTTGGCCTCAGGGCTCCAGAGAGCAGTCTCCCGGCTCTTGGGGGCTCCATGGAACCCGCTGGTTGGCCTTGGTCCTGGGATCCAGAGTTTAAATCCTCCGGGCCTGAGAAGCAGGCCCACCCTCCCCTAGTCCCAGGGGGGCGGGTCTACCCAGACGCTGCGCCCCAAGCCCCACCCACATCCTCAAGCACCCCCCCCTCCAGCACTTGCCTTTTTGGGCTCCATAGAAACGGTGTTGTCCATAGAGAACGTTGCTGTTTCCATGGTGATCCAAGTGGCTCATGGGTAGGAAGGTGGAGGCCAGACTCCCCGAAAATCTGGGGTACCCTGGAGCTAGAGAAGCAAGGGGACCGACTGCAGAGGCACCCCCAGGCTGTAGCCCCTCCCGGGTCCCAGGGCGGCGAGGAGCCGGCGGGCCGCCCGGGGCTGCCGCCCCAGGGCACCCAGCGGGCCGCCCGTGGGAAATCAACCCATCGATACGTCGTATTAACTCCGACTCGCTAACGCCGCCCCCACCCCGTGCAGCTCCGGCTGAACCGCCGATGGGCTGGGAGTGAGGGGCGGGTGGCGCGGGCCGCCTCTCCGGAGTGGGTCCGAGCCCGTGGCAGCGCAGCTGCGGGGCCCAGGGAAGTGTGGGGTGGGGGACGCAACGGACACAGCGCGGGCACCGGCCCCGCTGCGGGCCCGAGGGGCCCACAGCGGACACCGCCTCGCCGGCCCCTCCCCGCCGGCCCTGCGCCTGGGCCTGGTGGCCGACACCTGGGGCTGGCGCAGGTGGGCGGTGTCAGGCGTCGCCTTGCAGGAGGCCACAGGCCCTGGGCTCCCCGCCAGCCGGGCCCGCTCTGCACCCTGAGATCCGCAGAGGGTCCTCACGCTGGTGGTGCTACCCCCAAGAGTCCCCTACATTGGTCCCCAGCCCTGGGACCCTCCGGCTGCCCCTGAGTCATGCCGCAGGCCCCGCGCTGCCCCCCAGGGACACGCGCGCTGCCCCCTGGAGGGATGAGGACAGAACCAGCAGCAGGCCAGGGAGGCAGGCACGGGGCGGGGGGGCCCTGTCTGCTGGGTGTCCTGCCCCACCAGGCCCAGAGGGAGCGGGGGGCTGGCCGGGGCGCATGCTGGACAGCGCAGCCCGCGAGACCTGACCCCGCAGCTCGTGCTTTGAGTCGACGCTCTGAGCATCTCCCCAGGGAGAGCGGGTGTCAGAGGAGTTTCTCTCGGGGATCCCATGGCTGCACCGGCTACGAGAGACGGCTTCCCACCCAACCCCTGGGCCGCCTCTGCTGTGACCGCGGTGGGAGCCCGGGGCTTCCCCGGGGGCTGGGGGAGGGTGGGCTGGCGGGGCCCCAGTGTGGGTCTGAGCGCCATGGCAGCGCGTCCTCGGAGGGGCCGGAGCGTGGCAGGCGGCCGAGGCCGATCCCGGGGACCCGGGAGCTGTCGGACGGGGGTGGCGTGGGGGGTGGAGGCCGGCGTGGCCTGGACGGTCGCGGAGCCGGGGGTGGCCGGGGTGCGGGAGGGCAGCGCCAGAGCTCAGGGTGGGAAACGGCCAGGCGTCCAAGGGGGGCACTGCGGGGACCCCCGGGAAACAGGCCCCCAGTCCGAATGAGGTGTCCTGCACCCCGATCCAGCGGGCCCCTCAGCAGTGACAGGCCACCACCATTCAGCCCTTGATGCCACAGCGTGACATCCTCTGGCCCAGTGGCCCCGGGGGGCAGCCGGGTCCCACAGGCTCCAGGGCAGCCCCCGCGGAGGCTCAGGAGGAGCAGCGCACCGAGGTGCCCCAGCCGGCGCCCCGTGCCCGCCGCCCGGGCCTGCCCCTCGTCCCGGCCCTGCCCGGCGCGGGCTGAGCCCGGGAGCCTGGCCCGGGGGCCTGGGCTGTGTGGAGGCACATCTGGGGCAGCTGTTTCCTAGATTAAACTCGGCTCCCGGAAGACCCGACAAAAGCGGGGGGCGGGCGGGGGCGGCCGGGGCGGGGGCAGGGTCCCGTGTGTGCTGCACGGGGAGCGGCAAGACCACGCAGCTGCCCCCCTTTAATTGGCTGCTGTTAAATGTTTTACAGGCCTCGTTTTGGTAAACAGAAGTCTGTAAATTCCTCCTTCCCAGACTCCATTTCCCAGGCGCGGACCCCCCGTGACCCCTCGGGAGGTCCGGGCCTCCCGCCCACCCGCCCTCTGGGGGAGCTGGCGAGGGGCAGGCTCCTTCCTGCCAGCGCCTTCGGGGGCGGAGTGGGGCCGTGGCCCTGCCTGTGCTCCCGCTCCTGCCCTGCGCGGGCGGCATCCGCCAGGAGGGGTGGGCATCCAGCAGGGGCCGCACCCGGGGACCCCGAGGGGAATCAGGGCGGGGGGCGGGGGGCGGGGGGCGCGGTGAGGCAGCGTGGGAGCCTGGCCCCGGGGGAGGGGATAGGGCGAGGAAAGGGAGAAGCCCTCCTGGCCGAGCCGCAGAAAGGCCCTTTCTTTTCCCAACAAGACCGCGCTTTCTGAATTGAGGAAGAAAATAGAAAATGACTTTTATGAATCAGAGCAGCTGTTCTGAGACCAGAAGCCAGAACCAGGGCTGCCAGGCCCTTGAAGGGGCTGTTAGGGTGGAGAATGGGGGTGTCTGAGGGGCTCGGGCCGGGGAGAGAACACAGGAGCAGGGTGGCTACAGACCCTGGGCCTGGGGCCGGAGCCCCTTGGCCGGCACTGCTGCGGGGGCCGTGTGGTCCGGGACCCCGTCCCAGCCGCCCACACCTGCTGAGATCAGGGCCACCGTGATCTCTCTGATTGACAGGCGGCACCTGCAGCGAAGCTCCAAGCCTTGGTCCCCGCTCCCCGACCCCAGGGCCCTGGAGACCCCAGCGAGATCTAAGGGGGGCCCCAGGCCTGGAGACAGCCCGTGCCCCTCCCCACTGAGTTGCTAGAAGACACAATCCAATCCCATGACTTAGTGACGAGATATGCCATCGGCGCCTCATGGAGAGCAGTGAGGCCAGAACCAGCAGCCTGACCTTCACGGGCTGGGCAGGGGCAGCGCCTGCCAGGCCCCCAGGCTCCTGACCCCTCGGCGGGCGCCCCTCCCCACTCCCCGGCCCCTCCTGGCCAAGCCCAGGAAAGTTGGTGCTAGGGACACTGGCGAGCAGGTGGGCAGACAGGTCAGTGGACAGGGTCTGAAGGACAGAGGGGGCAGGAGGGCGGGCAGGGACCCTGTGCAGGGCAAAGACATGAGGGTGCGGGGGCTCAGACCCCCTGGGCGTCCAGGCTGTGCTTTCAAAGCGTAGGGGAGCCGAGTGAGCCCCCTCCTCCGGGCTGGAGTGGGCTTGGGGGCTCGGCCTCACGAGCGTCCCACACCCCCGCCTGGCACCGCTGGGGGCTGGGCCACGGCGTGGGCTCTCGCTTATCCCTGTCTCACTCCATCCGGGGAGGCGGCACCCCACCGCAGCCGGCAGGGCCCTTGCGTGCCAGCCGGCGCCCCCGGTGCGGGGCCTGGCAGCCTGTGCCAGGCCGTGCGGTGCGGGGACAGTCGCGGGCACCTCTGGAACCAGAACCCGGGCAGCCTGCCCGGGGCCCGGCGGCCCGTGGACAGCCTCAGGCTCCTGGCACGCGTCCCGTGGGGAGGAGCAAGGCCCGGGGCCCAGAGCAGCAATGCCTGGCCCGTCGGGGCAGGAGAAGGCTGGGTTGCCCGGCTGCTGAGGCCTCCGCTGGGGACACCCCGAATCTCAGAGCCCGGAGCTGGGAGCAGCCCGGCGTGGCCCTCCAGGCCTTTGCCGACACCCCACGCAGCCCGGGAGCTCTGCCCGCGCCCCCAGACCCCTAGCCCTGGCCCTCCTGTGGGCCCCAAGACCCCCGGGTGAAGCGTCCTGGGCAGACACTGGTCAGCGTGCCTGGGGCTGTGGGAGCGACCGAAGCCAGCCCATGAGATGCATGGCAGGCAGAGCCCACCGGCCAGGTGGCGACACCCGGGCTCTCCCACCCAGTCAGACCCAAGCTGCCTGCGCACATCCCCTCTCCCCCGCTGCGAACGTCAGCCCAGCGAGGTCCCGTCCTGGCAGTGGGCAGGGACACGCGAGGACAGGCGCCTCGGGCAGGTGCTCGAGGAAGCGTCTGTGGGGCCCGGCTGCGGTCTGCGCCACGGGGGGTCTGAACGGCTCTTCCTCTCCAAGGTGTGGTGTGTGGGTGGGGAAACTGAGGCTTGGCGGTGCTGCGGCTTTCCCAGCCTCAGGCCCAGGCGCGTGGACCTGAGGCCAACGCAGCCTCTGGCTGTGAAGATGCCCCTCGCAAGGGGCCGGGGCCGCGGCCTCGTCCGGCAGCCCTGACCTCGCTGCCGCTGGGACGTGGCTTCTGGGGAACGTGAGTGTGGCCGGGCCCAGGGGCGGGATGACATGCTGTCACCCTGAGTGCCAGAGGTGTGCCACCCAGCCTGAACTGGAGCCCAGGGCTGGCCCCAGGGCCCCTGCCTCCGGCCACCTGCAGCCACAGGACCCAGGCAGGTGGGCGGGGTCAGCAGGGCGCCCTCTGCTGGGCACCGGCCCCTGGTGGTCAGGACAAGACCCGCAGTGAAGGAGGGCGACCCCCAGCTGGAGGCCTCAGAGGGCTGGGACCCTGTGGGGAGGCAGGCAGGGCGCGGCACAGAGCGAGGGGGCCGGCCGCACAAAGCCCCGGGAAGGCTCTGGGCGGGTCCGAGGTCCGGGCGGGCGGGGTGGCAAAGGCGGCCGAGGGGGGTCTGCCCCCACTGTGTGGAGTCCCAGGGAGCTCATGCCCTTCTCCCCGCGCTGCCCCCTCATTCCAGCACAGCCCGTCACCCCCACTGGCCGCTGGGCGGGGAAGGCCGGCAGGACATGCAGGGCCACCCAGGCGTTGCCGTCCCGTCGCTGGGCTGGAGGGGAGGGGCTGGGGGTGCCCGGGAGGGGCCCTGGGGAGGTGGAGCCGGAGGCCATGTGCGTGCCAGGCAGCGGGCAAGGGCGGGAGGAGGGGCCGGCGGGGCTGGGGGCCACGTCCGGAGCGGGAGCCGCCGCAGGGAGGGCCGGCAGGGGCGAGCTCTGCAGAGCTCTCGCGGCAGCTGGGGGGATGCGCTGGGGGGTCAGGAGGGCCCGAGGCCACACAGAGGCGGTGGCCACTGGTGGGACCTCCGCTCGCGCGGACGTGGTCCCGCCTCCCACGGGCTCCCAGAAGCCCTGGCCAGCCCTGAGGTCTCAGGGAGACGGGAGGAGACAGAGGGGCAGCAGGGGCACTCGGGGAGCAGGGCTGGGGTGCTGCAGGGGTGCCGGGAGGCCCTCGGCACAGCCCTCACGCTGAGCCCACAGGGGAGGGCGTGGTTCCCACAGAGGCCGGCCGGGCCCGGGCCGAGCTGGCACGTGTGCCCGTGCCGCCCACGGCTCTCCCTCCAGGTGGCACAAGAGACCACGAGGAGCCCAGGCTGTGCCGCACAGCAGCTCGGCGCGCCCCCGCCGCCCCCCCCACCCCCCGCGGCGGAGCCCCCAGGAACAGAATCCCCTTTCATCAGCCTGTGGGTGGTCCCGGCCAGGCAGCTGGGGGGAGGGACGCGGAGGGAGGGGCAGGCTCGCTGACAAGGCCAGCTGTGCTGCGCCCCCGCCCCCGCCCGCCCCACAGGGCAGGCTGGCTGGACACAGGCTCGCCCCGACCCCGGCCAGTTCCGCCGCCCACCCCTCTCCCCGCCCCACAGGGGAACCTCCGGCTGCTGGCGGGACCCCTCGCTGGTGTGAGCCTTGGGGGGACCGGAGGCCAGGAACACACAGGCTCTGCCCCTGGCCAGATGTGACTGCTCCCCTGCACTCCAGCCGCCCCTGGGAGGCTGGGTCCACCAAAGGGGAGGTGGGGCCTGCCTGGGGGGGCACCTAGCTCACCCCCCACACCGAGCCCCCACTTGCTGCCGCATCCTGGCCTCCTTGCCCCAAAGACAAGAACCCTTTCAGAGGCCCTGCCCTGGCCAGGCTTTGGGGGACACCTGCCTCCCCGGCCCTCCTGGGGCGGATGGAAGGAACGGACGGACGAGGGTGAGCGCCAGGCGCGGAGCAGCCCGCCCAGGCAGCCCCCCGCGCCCGCCGGCCCCCACTCTCCGGCCGCGTCGCGTGCCCCCCTCCCCCCAACACACACGGCAGAGAAACAGGCCCCGGCACACGGGGAGCCAGCTGGCACCCAGTCAAACTAGCAGCCAGGCACGCTGCCCGGGCAGCCAGCCAGCACTGCCACTCGCCGCCCCGCCCGCGGCTCGGCGGCCTGGACGCGCGGCGCTCACAGCGAGGCGGCCGGCACCACGTGGCTGGCGGGGCTGCCGCAGGCGGACCAGACAGCGGGGCAGAGGGCAGGGGACCCCCCCCCAGGATGGAAATCCCAGGGCGGGACAGCCCTACTGAAGGCAGAGAAGGGGAGCCGGTCGGGGTAAACGGAGGCACCGCTGACCTCAGGCGGGAGCCACACTCACCTCCCGCTCCCGGCCCTGGAGCCCGGGAGGACGGATGGCTCAGGGCCACACCTGCTGCCCCTTGTCCCGTGTCCGCCCGAGCTCGCCCACCAAGCCCACTGCCCCAGCAGGTGCGCTCTCCCCACCTCGGCCACGGGCATGTCCGCCCAGGACGCCCTGGGCGATGGGCAGGCGACCTCTGGCCCGCGGGGCTGGTGTGGCCCAGCACCGACCGCTCCCCTGCTCAGCAGGCTGCCCGCCGGGGAGCAGCTGCCTCTCCAGGAGGAAGGGTGGGCGGGCACAGGCCGGGGGGCCCCCCCAGCCAGGTGGACGCCCCCGGGGCTGCGGCTGAGGGCGGTAAGTCACCCCAGGGCAGCCTGCGAGCCGCAGGCAGCCGTTGGCGGGGGGAAGTGGGTGGCTGGAGGCTGTTGAGGGCGCTGTCCGCAGGCCGCCCCCCGTCCCCCCAGTGGCCCCCAGAGGAGCAGCCTGGGGCGCCTCTGCCAGGGCCCCAGGGCAGGTGGTGCTGCCCACAAACCGCCCCCCTCGCCGATGAGGTCCCCAGGGGCGGCAGAGCTGCCGCTGCTCCCAGGCTCCTACTGGGCACGACTGCAGCAGGACCGGGACACCAGGCCAGCCAGCCCGGGCGCGCCGTGCACCTGTGGCTGGGCCAGAGACGCGCCGCGGCCGTTATTTCGGTTGCGGTGCCCACAAGGCCGCTGCGGCCTCCCCTGCCAGCCCCCGGGCGCCCGCCGCCCTCCTTCCTCCTGCAGGCGTCCCGGGAGCCAGAGGCCACGGCCGCCCACAGTGTGACGCAGGCACGGGAGGGCCCGGAGGGGGCGGGCGGCCCCACGCGGGCCCAGACCCGACGGCAGCAGTGTCCCCCCGGGAGAGCAGGCCGGGCGGCGGCGGCCTGGGCCGGGCCCGCACGGCCCACCTGTGTCCCTCACGGCCGGCGGCCTCCCTGCCTCGTCGCCTGCCCAGCATGTGCGCTCCACCCGGCGCTTAAAGCCCCGATTATTTTAACAACTGTCCCTCACTCGTCACCTGTCCTGCCTGGAATCCAGCCCCTTCCTTGTCACACAAAGAGTGGCTTCTCTCGCTCCCCAGCAGCCCGGGGCCCAGACCCCTGCCTGGGACGGGGCGGCAGCCGTGCGCGGCGCGTGGGTACAGCGCTCTGCACACGCTGTGCCGGCCGCGCGGCCGTCGTTGGGTTACAGAGGTGCTGTGCCAGGAGCAGAGGGCCCTGCGTGCCCGCTGCCAACTGCAATCACCTCTCCACGTGCCAGCCGCCGCCGGGCTTAACCCTTCCCATGCCACGGGGGACGGTGGCCAGCGACACCAGCAGCCGCAGCCTCAGGGCGCCGCCCCGTCCCAGGGCCAAGGGTCTGGGCACACGGCGGGGAGCTGGGGGGGCCCCGGAGCCCTCCAGGGACCCTCCTGCCTCCGGCCACTCCCACTAGGCACCTACTGTGCGTGCAGGGGGCACCCCCTCCAGAGGCAGGGGCCAGCGGGGGACTCTGTTCTAGGCCAGGCCCCCAGAGGGGCAGCCTCAGTGTGCTGACAGCTCTCGCCGTCCCGGCCCTCCCTCCCGGCTGGCACATCTGGAGCCCATGCCTCCCCGAGTCCGGGGGTGGGCGCAGCCCGGGGCGGAGGGCGCGGCCGGGCCAGCTGGGTCCCATATTTCCTCGGCTCCCCGAGCCCGCCAGGCCCCGCCCCCGCCGCTCCCTCTCTGCCCAGCTGCGCGCACATCTGGCCCGGGCCGCTGCCCGGCCGGCCCACTCACTCCCAGCCTCTCCCGTGGGGGCTTCCTCCGCGGGAGGCGGCCCCACAGCAGGGCCCCCGGCAGGGCCGCGGCGCCCGCCGGGAGCGCGGGCCCCGACTTACCTTCGTGGGAGTGTGAGAACCAGATCTGGGAGGGGGCGGGGTGGGGGCCGCGGTAGGCCTGCTCCGACGGGGCGGGCGCGGGGCCGCTGGGGTGCGGGGAGGCTGCGGCGCCCAGGCTGCCGCTGAGGAAGCTGCCCATGAACGAGGAGGCCGGGGAGCTCCCCACCAGGCGGCCGCTGGCTGTGGACACAGGGGACAAGAGTCAGGCTCGGGCCCTGGGCTTTCCTCTCCAAATATCCCAGAAGCCAGGGCGGGAGAAGCTGCCCTGTCGGGCCCCCGACCACCACGCTCAAGGTCCGGAGGCCCCGTGCCCTCCTGTTACTGCAAACCCTCGAGGGTGGCATGTCTGTCACCACCCCGTCCCCACCTACCAGGTGCCAGGCACTGTTCGGGGCCCCCGGGGGACCAGCCGCCCCCTGGGCCGCCTTCTCGAGGGCAGGTCCCCTGGCTTCCCTCGGCCTCTGAGCCCGGCCCGCTGGCCAGCACGCTCCGCCCACAGCTCCGGGAAGGGGCCAGGGTCGGCAGGGGCCGGGGCCCCCCCCGCCGCCCTGCAGGCCAAGCAGTCTCCGGCCACCCTCTGACCGGCCCTGGGGTCTGGCCTTTCTGCACGGGGGGGGGCCTTCCCCCTTCTCCCAGGTCCAGCCCACTGACTCGTCAGACTGCAGGGCCCGGCCCCAGGTGAGCAAGAGGAGAAACTGAGGCAGGAGACGAGCGAGGAGGGAGGCGCGTGGGTTTGCTCTCGCATCCCCCCGCGGGCTCGGGGCCAGGCCCTGGCTGGGCTGGCGGGGAGCCACCGACTGTCCGTCACCCCAGGACGTTTGTCGCCTCCCCAGCAGCCAGGCCCCGCGCCTGCCCCTCCGGCTCGCCACGCCCACCTGCACCCACCGCCGCCGCGTCCCCTCTCTGTCCAAGGCCAGTGGCCAAGGCCAGGCTGAGTGAGCGGGCTTGGGTTTCCATGGAGACCAGCGGCTTGCACAGGAAGAACATACCCGTACACCCAGCACCAGCCCCGGCGCCTGCTGGGTGGTCCCGGGCTGCATGCTCGGCCCCTACCCTTGCTGCCTTCCCGCGGGCAGCGAGCCTGGCTTGGGACTGTCCCAGGGGGTGGGGAGCAGGGAGCTGGGGGCCTGCTGTGCCCGGGCGGAGGGCAGGGGCCCGGGGGGCGCACGGGGGCCCGGGGGGCCGCAGCCCGGCCCAGGTGAGTCAGGCAGCTGCTCCCAGCCCGGAGGCGGGAGGATTTTGTGACTTTGTGATGCCTCATCCAGCCGGGCTTGGCTCTGGGAGCGCCCCAGACACGGGGTGACTCAGCAGAGGAGGGAAGCCGGAGTGGGGGGGGGACGGCCCGCTGGGTACAGGCTCGGCGGCCGGGCCAGGCTGTGTGGCTGTCAGGGGCCACTCACGGGTGCGCCTCGGGGGAAGGGCCCGGCAGCGCTGGCCAGGGACGGGCGCGAGCCGACCTCTGGGGCGGGCGGGCGTCGGGCTGCATGGAGACCCGGGGAGAACCCGGGGCAGGGGGCGAAGGGGCCCTGGAGCCAGGGACTTCCCAGACCACAGGGCTGGGGCGCCTATGGGCCGCAGCCAGACCACAGGCCGTCCGGCCAGGGGCGGGGACGCTGGCCTGGGAAGGGAGGCGCTGGTCTCCCAGGCAGGTGGGCGGAGCGGGGGCAGCAGGGTGGCGGGGGGAGAGGACCCCGGGGGGGGACCGTGCCTGCGGTGTGAGCGAGGCCTCTTCCTGCCTCGCCCAGGCCCGCCCCGAGGCCCCCAGGCCCGCCCGCCCCCACACCCGCCCAGGAAAGTCCCTCACACCCTGCTCCTCGCGGGGACAGTGGGAAGCAGCCGAGCCCAAAAGCCGCGTCTGGATGGACTTCTCCTGGAGCCCGGCCTGAGAACCCCATACCTTGGGCCTTCCCACACCCCCGCGGAGCGTGTGGGGGCGGCCCGGGCAGCCCCCACAGGGCCCTGTGCGCTCGGATCCAGGAAAACCGAGGTGCGGAGGCGGCTCCCTCAGAGGGTCTCTGATGGATGGGCCCCTTCTGAGGCGGCAGGCAGCCTCTGAGGGCCCACGCCCCGGCCCCCGAGGGCCCCCCAGGGTGAGGGCTGGCGGGAGCAGGCCTGAGGCCGAGTCGGGGGTCGGGCCCCATGGCCCCAAGACTGGAATACGGAGACCGATGCTGGCCTGGGGTGGGGACTGTCATGAGTGTTCTGCTGGAATGTCCCGCTGCGCAGGGACTCTGGGGCAGGGGCAGGGGGCAGAGCTCGGCCAGCCTCCCTCCGGGCTCCAGGAAGCCAGGACGCACCGGTGACAGGCTGCACTTCCCGCTGGGGCCAGAAACCCCACGCCGGCCTGTCCCGCTTCCCACCTGACGACGCAGCCACCCCAGCCCCTAGGCCTCCCCTGACCGCACGGGCAAGCCGCAGGGTCCCCGAGTGTCCCAGCTCAGGCTGGGCATCACCTGGGGGGTGTCCTCACTCCTCTCTCCATGCAGAAGCCTGAGAGCCTTGTCATGCAAACACTACAGCTTCACACGCGCGTTACAAAACGCTCCAACGACAGAGACCCTGGAAGTCCCCCATGGGAGGCTTGTGCGGGCACCCAGGTGGCCTCTGCCTCCCGGGCCGGAGCCTGGGTGCCGGTCCTGCCAGGAGCTCTCACGCTCCAGCCTGGGCCCACACGGCGGGGCCCCCGCCCGCCGCCGTCCTGGGCCAGGAGTTTGGGAGCAGAGGCGCTCCCGCCGGCCTGGCCAGGCGGGCGCTGCGCGGGCGGGTGTCCGGGAGGGGACCGTGTGCTCCTGGCGCCGGGACAGCGCGTCCCAGTTCCCACTGCCATCTCCGCTTCTGGGAAGTGTGGTGCCGGCACTGCGCTGGGCCAGCAGCGCCATGGCAGCCCAGGCTGCCACCTCCCCAGCCCCTGCCGCCGACCGGTAGCCACCAGCCCCAGACAGAGCCTCGGCAGAGGCGGCCTGGGCCCGGGCCAGAACCGGAGCCGTGCAGCCAAGTCTGGCCAGGGACCGGGCTGCAGGCGTCTTTCCTCCTGGCAAAGCCCTTGCCCGTGGGGCGCCCGGTTACCAGCCTGGGGGCCCGTGGGAGCCCCACACAGCGGGGGGCACGGGGACGCGCGGGGGGACCCTGGCACCGTCTGCACCGGCGTCTTTACCAACCTCATGCTAATTTGTGTCGCCGCCATCCCTGGTGGCAGGTCGCCATTCAGCTGACAAAGAAAAGGGCATTGCCTGTCTGGGCCCACGGTCCCAACTGCCCAGGCTGTGGTTTGAACGAGGTCTGTCCCCTCCAAGGCCACCCGGTCCCGTCCAGTGTATGTGGTCAAGATGGCTGTTCACCCGGGCCGTCTATCGGTGCTCGTCACGGGGATACGGCACAGGGTTAGGGGGATCCCGGAAAGGGGTCTGCGCGCCGTGTGAGGTGCTGGCAGGCCCAGAGGTGGGCCCCCCACTGCCGAGCGCCAGCCCCCGCCGCCCCCCGCTGCCTGGCCAGCCCAGCCGGGTTTGCAGCCCCAGATACAGGGCTCCGGCCGCAGCTCTGCCCAGTGCACCGCGGAGGCCTGGCCCGGGCCCCGGGCTGGCTGAGAAAACCGCTCCGGAAGCCAGCCCGCCCAGGAGGCCTGCTTGACACCCGCGGCGGCCCAGCTCCTCGGGCCCAGCCCCCGCTCCTGGAGGCCGGTCTGTCCCCACGCCCCACGGCCTGGACAACCTGAACCCTGGCTGGGGCAGCCGCTTCCCCTCTGGCTGCCCCCATGGGACAGAACGGCCGGGCTGGAATGCCCCGACGCCCCAAGAATCTCAAGTGGCCGCTGAGCCCAGCCTTTGACCACAGGGCCACTCTGCAGAATATGGCACGAAGTGGGTGGCAGAGGTGGTCCCCTGGTCAGGCACAGCCAAGGGCCGCGGGGCCTTCCCCCGCCAACCTGTCGCCAGGCCCAGCGGCCTCGGCCGAGCCGGCCAACCGACGGTGGGCAGCGCGGAGGGGCCCTGCCGGCCCTGCCGCGAGCCCAGAGCTGAGGCCCCTCTCCCCGCAGTGCCCTGGGGCCCCAAGGGGAGGACGAAGGCCCAGCGGGGCGGGCAGCGTGCGCGGGCGGCCCCGCAGCCGACAGCGAGCATTTGTTGTGACTTAAGCGAGCCGCTGCGTCGTCTCCCTCCTTTTCTGGAAACTGTGAAATGGGTTGTAAAAAAAAATAATAAAATAAAAAAGGGCCTCGCTGAGATGGCTGGCGGCCACCCCCGAGCAGCAGCCCCTCCCGGCCTCTCGGCTCCGCCGCCCGCTCCCAGGAGCCCGGCCGACGGCCTGCTGGCCCCTGCTGCCCACGCCAGCTCCCGCCCTCCCGCTCACGCCCGCGCAGGCTCCCCGCTCCTTGCGGCGCCCCTTCTCCCCTGCACGGCCTGCCTGGGCGCTGTGGGTCCCTGGGCCTCCCCATGACACCGGGGGCGGTGGAGGCGCTGAGGGCACAGGTGAGAGGCGGTGCGGGGGGAGGGACGGACCACCAGCCCGCCAGGCGGACCCCGCCCCACCCCTCCTCCTGGAGGGGACGGAGGGAGGAGTGTCCACGCCGGGTGCCCTCCATGGAGGAGGGTGGGGAGGCCAGGGCCCAGCCCGCTCGGAGGCAGGTGGGCGCCCCTGCCCGACCGCCCGGAAGGACTTGGAGGCCAGGCCCCGGAGGGCGGGGCCGCCCTGGGACTGCCCCCACCAGGAGAGCCGGAGTGGCTCGCGGAACACAGCCCCACGTGGGTGAGCCCAGGCCTGCGGGCTCGGTTCCCAGACGCCACTGGGGCGCTCGCGCCAGGCTGGGGTCCACGCAGGGGGCGCAGGCACGAGGGGGCACGTGCACGGGTACAGTGCAGGTGGGCGCGCCGGCGGCTGTGGGGCTGCGCGGGTGGATGGGGGGGTGTGCGTGGGCGATGGGCTCGCGTGCAGAGTGTAGATGTGCCTGCGTTGGGGGTGCAGGCGCCAAGGGCCCTCAGGCTGGGTGGGCCCCCGAGGACGCTGCTCCCCGGCATCGGGCCTCCAGCACCCTGCTGCCCTCCCCCACTGGCCTGGGCCCTGGTGGCACGGGAGGGGCTGTCCAGGGCCCCTCCCCCGCCTCCGCCCTCGGGGTGGGGGCACACTGAGGCTTACCCACAGGGGAAGGGGACCCCCGCCCTCCCGGGTGCACCAAACTATAGCTCCAA